GTAGTTCAAATAATAACTTTAGTTTTTTCATGTGTTTTCTTAATGAACCATTCTTAAAAAATAAACTATTATATTTTCGATCTTAAGAGATTAGGAATAATGTAGGCTTGCACGTGGTCTTTATGACTATACAGTATGTTGCAATGAGCACAATCAAGAATATTAAGGAGAATATTTCTGTATTTGTAAATAAAAAAAAATTATTTCCTTTTCTCCAGGACAGAGTAGAGCTGAGTTAAAAAAATATGTTTAAAATACTTGCAGTGAAATTCGTGTTTCTTGAAATCATTATGATTGAAATTGTTTTGAATTTATTAATTTACATTGACAAATTTGTGACTAATGTTTTTTAAAAGAACATAATTATTGGATTCTTTTGAAGATTGATTATAATAATTTTCAATTTTTTGTTGTATCAATTAAAAGCATCAAGAATTTTAAATAACTATCAATGTGAGTTTTTATCAATCAAATATAATTCCAGAAATTATGTGACAAGCTGTGATTATGTAATTTCAAATTTTAACTTAACTTTTTGTATTTGTAAACATGTAAAAGAACTTAAAATTGAATAGATTTAATTCAGTTTGTGCAAAACTTTTAACTTTAATTTTTAAAAAAGATATTTTTTTATAATTTTTGGAAGTTAAGAAAATGAAAAATAATTTTGGTTTATTTTGATTTAACAATCAGCATTTAAAGCAGCCCCAAATGGTTGCTGTTGAAAACTTGAATAAGGGTGGAAAGCCCTTATTCGTCTTTTCGCTGCTCGACTTCTGTGTGCTTCTCTCTCAGCCTTATGCACGTTCCTGCTATCTCCGAGATGCGCCAGCAGTACAATCTCTCGTTCTTCCACCTCAGTCTTGATCGCCTGCCACGAGAGGTGATAGGTCCTTTATTCACCTTTGATTCTTTAATCCTTTTTCTTAATTAGCACTTCTTAGTACTATTTATGCTTTATTTATCTTTTGTCCTTTTCCCTTATCATCATTCTTTATCTTTATCTTTTGTTCTTTTATCCTTTTCACAGCCTTTTAGGAGAGAATAATAGAGAAATTTTCCCGCCAAAAATTGCCCCTTTCATTCTTTCTCTTTCACACCTTTTCTGTCTCTTTTACTATTTTTTTAACTAAAATGTCCGTTAAATTTCTTTTGCTTTATTTACAATATTTCAACAGTTCACTATGGGGCAAAATTGAAAAAAAAGGGACTTTCACTTCTAAAAAGGCAATGTTTCGAATTAAGTTCTCAAGTGGGTTTTTTCTTGAAGAAGACATAAAAATAGACTTCTATGCCAAATTTCAGGTCATTTGGTGCTATTTTTGCGAATCTGTGGCTGTTTGAAGTTGAAAAAGGGTGAAAAATCTGGTTTTTTCATGTCACGTTAGAACTGGTAAATCTCCACAATGGTTAGAGATATTGAAAAAAGGTTTTCAATTCCTAAAAGTGTAATATAAGAACTTTTTTAATGTATATCAAAGTTTACAAATTTGATGTTTTGGTACCGGTGTAGTTGAAAGTGTATAAAAATCCTAGGAAAAATATCTTTGTGCAGGCACAACTTTTTTCTGTCAACAGCTTTACCAGTAAAAAACCACGCCATTAAATAGCCACTGATTTCTAGTTTTTATAACTGTATAAATATCAAAATAATGTTTGCACCGTTGTGAGAAAAGTTGATTTGAGTAAATCGACAAATATTTTGCCAAAAACGAAAATTTCTTATAATAAAACAAAACAATAACTACAAATAAGTTTTTCGGAAAAACGTCATTTCTAGAAATACCACTTGGAAACAAAATTAAGTATTGAGTTTTAAAAACACTCAAAAAATTGTATTTTATAAACTTTTGGCTATCGATAACCTTTTTTCAATACCTTTAACCATTGTGGAGATTTGCCAGTTCTAACGTGTCATGAAAAAACCAGATTTTTCACCCTTTTTCAACTTCAAACAGCCACAGATTCGCAAAAATAGCACCAAATGACCTGAAATTTGGCATAGAAGTCTATTTTTATGTCTTCTACAAGAAAAAATCCACTTGAGAACTTAATTCGAAACATTGCCTTTTTCGAAGTGAAAGTCCCTTTTTTTCAATTTTGCCCCATAGTGCAGTTGCGGATCTTAAGGAATAGTCGTTAGTACCACGCTTCTTTCGAACTACAATTGTTAGCCTGTTGAGATAGTCATGATAATTGCTATGGAAATTGCAACAGAATTAAAGCTGATTGAAAATGTAAGAGATGTGCTTGAAAAGATCTGTAATGTCAAGCAGTTGGCGAATTATTCTACAATATTCTAAAGACAGTTGAATATTCAATAAAGAACAAGCAAAATCATGTTTGTGCTGTTAAAGATAAATTATTTTTAAAATGCCAACAAAAACTAATTTAAATTATTTTTTAAAATTATTTCAAATATTGTTTAAAAAAGATTTAACTATTTTAGTGATGATATGTTTAATAAATTTTAATGGCAAATACAAGCCTTCTGTTGAGACTTTAAATATGAATTACATCCAAGATTCTTGGCAGTTTCGAAGAAAATTTTTGCTTTCAGTTGACATTTCAGAACATAAAATCCAGAACCACAAATATCCATCATACATTTCCTAAAGTTTATATCACAATACTGTTTAGTAACGCCACATGTTTCATAGCAATAATCATGCTCATTGCAGCAATATTCAAGATTTGGATTTGGAAGAAATTTTGCATCAAAATTTAACTCACTCGTACCACAGCCATTTGCAGATTTATGGAAGTAAGGATTTGGGTACGGATGTAAATCTGTGAAAATTTTTACGTAAATTAAAGAAGAAATTAAAAAAATATTTTTACTTACATGATGGACATTTGAAATCACATGCTAATGTTTTTTGTAGAAAATTTATCAAAATTATTGAAAAAATTATTTTTTTTGAAAACTTAGTCATAATCAGATTATTTTAGCAATTTTTGGGTTAATTCAAATTAATCTTATCTTTTCAAGAATGAGATAAAAATGACCATGAATCCATATTTATTTGCAAAGTTTATTTATACTTGGGAAAGTCTTGAATTATTTTAGGCTACCTGTCAATATTAAAAACATTTTGTTTTGTTTATAAGTTGACGATCTATTTTGTTTTTTAAAAGAATGTTTTAACGTCAAAAATTAAATTGTTATTAACTTTTGTTTTAACCAGTTTTTTCGTGCAAATCCCCATTTAGACACAAAACATATTTTTCTTTCAAGCATATTAGAAAATTTAACAAATATTAAGTTTTCTCGCTTTTTAGCGCATTTTTGAAACTTGTTTCTAAAGGTTAGCTTAAAAATTCACTTTGCTCGGCTGCTCAGCTGGTTCTGAGATCTCATTAACCAGTATTGCGTCGTATTGAGCTCTAGTTTGTTTTATTAGCACAGGTCCATTGTTTTATTGGCTTATCGACTATTTTCGAACCGTAAAACAATGGATAAATACTATAATTAAGGATTTTTTTATTTCATATGAAAAAAACACGTGATGAGAGCGTTTAGAAATTTGAATTTTTTTCTACCGCTTAAAAAATTGTTTAGCGTATGCTCAAAAATTCAAATTTATTTTCACCGTTAAAATATTTGAATCTAAAAAAACTGTTAAAGGACAAAATTTATTTCTGTACCTAATGTTTAATATTTTTTAAATACAATGAATAAGCTTTGATAAAGGCAAAATTTTAGAGCTGTTTGCTAATTGATTCGCATTTTGATGCTTATCAAATACTGATCGATGCGTCAAAAATGCGCTGAAGTCCCTCGATAAATAACACGAGGACTTTTGTAATTTTTTTCAATAAGACAACTAATAGTTCCTTGTTAGAGACTGAATTTAATTAATTAAATATTTTGTTGTATGTTATTAAAATTTATTTTACTACACAATGCATCCGTAATTAAAAATAAAGTTAATAACAGAAAATCTAAACAAAATTCATTGCACTGCTTATTTTTAATGCAGAAGGACACAAACAAGTATTCTTCTGTGCATCAGTAAAGGAACTACAACCAATTTCCTTCACAATATCATAAAATAAATCGGCAGTTGCCTTACAATAAATTGACTTTACATCTAATCCAGGTCCACAAACTTCTAATAAACAACTTTTAAATACAGTGTCACAAGTGCTCTTTGCATTATTGCATGTGTCATAACAGTAGTCATGTGCATCACAACACAGCTCCATTTGAGGTTTAGGTAGAAGAGCTGCATCGATTGTAATGCCTTTTGATCCACATCCGTTGGCAGTTTTTATGTAGTCTGGATTTGGGTATGGAGTAGAGTCTAATTTTGCGAATATATTTTTTTAATTTTCATTTTATTTTAGAATTGTGATTTACTTGAACTTGCCTCCTTTACAATGAAGGATACATGAAGCTGCTACGCTATTAGCATCTATGGATGATCCAACAACAAAAGAAAAACTCCCTAGTAGTAAAATTAATGCTTTATTTGTCTTCATTTAAAAAATTTATAATAAAATTATCAAACTGAATACTCTGAATGCAAACTTAGAACTGATTACAGCCAAAGGTAATAATTGCACATATTTATGTGTTGAGAGCACAAAAAATTGAAAACAATCTTATTGAGATTTACTTGAATTAAAAACCATGCTAAGCGGTCAAGTTGATATTGATAAGTTGATAGCTATGAGTTATATTATCAGCACTTGAAACATTAAAAAAATAAAAATTATCATAATTATTAGCTTTAATATATCAATTTCACAAATTCATGTTCACAGGGTTGATCTTCATTTTAATTATGTCTATTAACAAGTATTCAAAATGTAATAGTTTTTGTCTCTGCATTTGTAAAATCATTGCGCCATCTTCATGTCAAAAACTTGAAAAAAAAACAATCTCAAGTGAAAATTTCCAACATAAAAGAAAGTTTCTACACATCAAATAAATTTCAACACACAAAAATCGTCTGACTTTTCATAACAAAAACAAAAAATTTTGTTTCTTGTCGCTCATTTGTCAACAAAAAAAACCAAAAATAAAATTTGCATAAAAATTTTATTCGTAAACCTTTTGAACCTTAATTTGCTGCAAAAAATTGGACATGAAATACTAAAGCAAATTAAAAGAGTTCAAAAGTGAAGGTATTTCAGCTTTAAAAAGTGATAAGATTGTTTGATACGAAGGCTTAAGAAAAAAAAATTAAAGTCAAAGTCCGAAAGATTACAAACTAGAATTTTAACAACGTAATCATGACTGTAATTAGTAAATTTCAATCTGTTCCAACGACCTGCATTGAATATGTTCATCCGTGGACGGATAGCTGCTGGAATGGATCAGCTGGACTGCTTATCGTCTCGTCTTTGGATAGTTTTAGGATATATACACTTGTTTATGTTGTAAGTAGTTGTGCAAGTAGAAGTTTAGAACCATGTCAAAGACTATATCTTTAAATTTAATATGATTTTGTCTTTAAGTTGCTTTTATTGTTTTTATTGATTAATCAAAACTCATTTGCTCGTTAATTTTTTAGCTTTCACTTTTGATGCGAGGTCGGATTCCAAAATCAAAAGATATTGCAAGAACCGTTCTTGGGATTCTTCAATCAACAGCATTTTTAACCACATCAGCAGTTGCTTATTCCTCATATTTATGTATGCTTCGTCGTGTCTTTGGTGGTTTCACAATGTTAACAGGAAGTTATGTTCCTGCTTTTTTATCAAGCGTTACAGCTATTCTTATAGAACGACCATCTAGGCGCGTTCTCTTGTGCCTTTATGTTGCTAATGTAGCTTCTGAATCGCTATGGAAGATGGCAGAGTCACGAGGAATGGTTCGAAGTATATGGCGAGGACAAACAATCATTTTTGGAGTGTCAACAGCAACTTTACTTTACTATTTCCGTCGTGGATGGCATTTGAATAAAAAAGATTCTGTTTATGACGTTCTTCGATTTATTGTCGGTAAGGATGAGGAAGGCGGCAATCGTGTCGAAAAAGTTGAAGACAAAAAGAGAAGTAAAAGACTTTTGCAGAGATATATGATTACCTCTTGGATATTAAAAGTCTATAATCAATTAGTCATTTTTCTTAAATCATTTTCAAAACACGATAAATGTAAACATAGTGATAGTTGTGCATATTATGTATTTAATGGTGGAGCAAAGCTTTTTGGAATTGGATTAGGAATACAAGGAATTCTGAAATTGGTGCTACAAATACCAAAAATAGTTAAAACTCCCAAAAAAGTATTGTCATCAATATTTTCAAAAGATACAATGAGAATTGGCGCTTTTCTTGGTGGATTTTCATTTGTTTATCGGGTAAATTAATTTTATTATTTTTAAAGATAATTCAGTACATTACTTATATTATTTAAGCTCACCGCATGCTTCCTTCGAAGAACATTCAACGACGATAAACCCGAATATGCGATTCCTTCAACACTTCTTGCCAGCATTGCGTTCCTTAGTTATCCAGATAAGACAGCAGCTCTGTACATAATGTGGAAATCACTCCAACTGACAACAGAAATGTTAACTGACAAAGGTTACTTACCCAGAGTTCCATATGCAACAGTTTTTGTCTATAGTATCTTTACGGCTGTTTTGTTCCATGCTGCAACTTTTGAACCACAAAATTTGCGTACTAGTTATTGGAAATTTTTACATGGATTAAGTGGAGGTAGAATTGCAGTTATGGATAGGCGATCATTTGATGTTTGGGGTTTGAACACTCAAGCACAAATAATGAAAACAATTGAAATCACAAAAACACCTGTTGATATAAAATACAGTTTTGGACGATGGTGACATTGGAAACATTTAATTGGTAATGACAAAGAGTGAGGTAATTCCATTAGAATAAGGTGAATACTTAGGAAATAATTTTAAAATCGGGATCATTAATTTGGAAAATTTTGAATGTAAATTTTAATACAAATCCATTGCCTTGTGCTACATGATTCTACTTTTTTGTAGAAATTATGGTAATTTTTCACGAGCAAAATGCAAAAGAAATATTCCAATGAGACAAGTTTTAACAAAAAACATTGAAACATTTGAATTATATGCGTTCCTTAAAAGATATTCTTCAAATCTTGAGATTATAAAATAATCAAAAATTTAATAAAATAATTTTTTTTTGTTACATAAAGTGTTAAATTGTTTTATTTTTTGAGCATGTGAAGCCGATATCTGGGGTTACTCAGGAAAAACTTACAACTGGTAAGCTTTAGGAATTCAAAATTTCAAAATATGATCCTTCCATCAGTTGGTTGTCTCTTAATTCAAAAGTCTTAATTAAATCAGCAGCAACTTTATTACCAATTTCAATATCCTCATCAGGTCTCATCATAACTTCAAATTCAAGTCCATAATAATTTGAGCCCTTATTTTTCACAACATCTAAGTGAATTCTTGAACGATCATACATAAAAAGATGTCGTGTCTTGTCAAGGATTCCAAGAGTTCCTAAAAAATTGAAATATTTTAAATTATAGATTTACATGCTAAATTTAAAGTAAAACAAACCAATCGATTCATTTAAAATCTTCTCCATTAAGCTCCCATTCTCAACTTCCAAAATATTGAATTTCGACAACTTTGGTCCTTGGACATTATCTCGATCATATTGTACCAACTTTGCTTTATTTCCTTCTTCATACCGTAACTTCAATCTACCTTTTGTGACTTTAAAAAAAACATCATGTTGTTTTATCAACTCAGCCTCAATTTTTCCAGTCAGTTTTTTAGCAATGTTCACTTTTTCATTAAATTCATTTTCATCACAAAGTTTAGCTTTAATTTCCACATTTCTACAATCACCACAAGACATTTTAAAGAAAACTTTACTTGAATTACGTTTATAAATACAAATGCTTGGATTTAAATTATGTTTAATGAGTTTGGCGCTAAATTTCAAGGTCATTACTGTTTACGATCGAAAAGTGTAGAATACATAAGAATTTGAATTAGAAAATATAGTTTGAATAAAACCCTTTTAAAAAAAATTGAGAATTTGTTGCAGTTTAGGTACAAAAACTTTAATCTTACTAAACAAAATTTATCAAATACTCAGGGGGGGGACAGAGCAAAAATTGCTATGAAAAAAAACCCAAAAATGTTTACTCTGATGAAATTTCCAAGTACTCCACAAACGAAATTGAAAAAGTCAAATTTAAAGGAACTGAAGCATCGAAGTAAAATTTTTTGGATGTCAAAAGGTCTTAAATCATGATTCTCATCAGCTCCAATCAAAATTTCGGTCCTAAACTGCATCGGAAGGAAGTATTGCGAAAATTTCATTTTTCGACAATTTTTTTTCCAATACAAAGTGGAGTACTTGGAAATTTCATCAGAGTAAACATTTTTGGGTTTTTTTTTTTTTTTATGGAAATTTTTGCTCTGTCCCCCCCCCCTGCAAATACTTAAGAATTTGTCAATAAAAATAAATCATCATAAAAACATTAACACAACTTTTTCCTAGACATCATTAAATCTATTTATTGCATTGTAAATAACCAAAGCTTCAAATATTTTCTCAAATGAGTAAGAAAGTCTCGATAAATATTTGGAAATTGATAAAGAATCAAACTAGTTTAGAAGACACCGTTAAGGATTAGAACGGACGAACCAAGCGCATTTTCTTCTCGTAGAACAGTAAATTCATAATGAAGTCAGATATATTAATTCAGTGGGATTTTAGTCATGTCTGAATATAAATTCAAAATCCAGGAGTAGTTTAATCATACTTAGAACCAACATCCAAGTTCCAGTAATTTTCTAATCATGTGAGCAATTTGTTCATGTTTAAAACCAAAAGCCAAGATCCAGTCAGATATAAGATCCTGTTGGATTGATATAAATCATCTACAAGCTGCAAAACAAATAATCGAATTCAAAAATTAAAGTTTTCATGTGACGGTATTTTGGAGAGTCAAAATTTAACGAATTTTTGAAATTAAATGTTATATGTTATGCAAAAATAAAATGTGCTACCCACTAAGAATTGGAAAGTTAATGAAGTAAAGAAACTAGAGTATTTTTTTAAAAAAATAAACCTGCAAACCTACGAATCAGACGCTGTCTATTGTATAAAACCAGAAATCTATACCCTAGCAGAAATTTACTAGTAATTTCCTGGTAATTTACTGGATAGCTTTCAATTTGCTACATACTTGCTATTTACTAGTAAAAATCCAAGTTCAAATCATCGCCAAAGACCCGCATTTCCACTTGCTAATTTACTAGTCAATTCACTTACAATTTAACAAGTAATTTCTTAGCAAATTTGTAAAAAAATTAAATGAATATAACCGTTGATTTCCACGTGTTCTTTTGATTTTTCTTATTTGTGTAAATTATTGTAAAAGTATTAGTATACACTTAGTAAAGTTAATTAAAGTACACTAACACTATGAAAAAAACATAAAAGACTTAATTTAATTAAGTCGAACACTGATGAACGCCCATGACTCGCACGCAAACCTGAGGAAGTTAAACAATTATTTGAAATTCACATACAAATTTGGATCGACCTTATAAAGGTGATTTCTGCGCGCTCTTGTGAAGTATATGACAAATACCAAATTTAGAACAAAATTTTTTATGACGCCAAAAATTCTTTTTTTGATGATTTTTTGTGGGTTTCGAACTTAAACAGATTTGATCAAACATTTTACATGGTAATTTGCTTGTATCCCTAATAGGCAAAGAGCATGCTCACAAATTTGAGCACATGCAAGAGCATACTCAATTATAGAAATTTATGTGCTCAAATGAACATACTCTCATGAGTACATAATGAGTACAAAAACGTAGTATACTCAGTTGAGTACATTCATTGAGTACGCTCTCTTACATACTCTAAGTACATCAACATGATACAAAAAATTTTCTTTATGTGCTCTCTTGAGTATACTTATTGAGTATGTCCTCTCTCACATTGTGAGTATGACAAATGTGAGTGTAATTTCAAAGACAGTATACTCTCGTCAGTATACTCTTCAAGTGTACTCAAGAGCATATTCAGAGCATATCTTTCTGATAATTCACATTTAAATACATTATGCTCATCTGAGTACACTTTCTGAGTGCACTCTCAAATGTACTCTGAGCACGTCTTTGTAATAAGTTTATGTAAGAAACATTGTGCTCATCTGAGTACACTTTCTGAGTGCACTCTCAAATGTACTCTGAGCACGTCTTTGTAATAAGTTTATGTAAGAAACATTATGCTCATCTGAGTACACTTTCTGAGTGCACTCTCAAATGTACTCTGAGCACGTTTTTGTAATAAGTTTATGTAAGAAACAGTATGCTCATCTGAGTACACTTTCTGAGTGCACTCTCAAATGTACTCTGAGCACGTCTTTGTAATAAGTTTATGTAAGAAACATTATGCTCATCTGAGTACACTTTCTGAGTGCACTCTCAAATATACTCTAAGCACGTCTTTTTTACATGTCACATCCAATTGGATTATACTTAAATTCTCACACTTAACAAATATTTACTTACAAGAATCTCTAGGTTTAATTTAAAAAAAAAGTTTATAAATATCAGTTTGAAATCGTTTGTATGCTTCAGCACTGTATTTTTGTATTGGAAAAAAAATTGTCGAAAAATGAAATTTTTGCAATACTTCCTTCCGATGCAGTTTATGACCAAAACTTTGATTGAAACTGATGAGAATCATGATTTAAAACCTTTTGACATCTAAAAATTTTTACTTGGATGCTTCAGTTCCTTTAATTTTGACTTTTTCAATTTCGTTTGTGGAGTACTTGGAAATTTCATCACAGTAAACATTTTTGGGTTTTCACGTGTGAATTCATTGGTTTTGTTCAGATTAAAAAATCAGTTTTTTGAATTTTGTGAGGATATGGAACAAGGTAGCTTAAAATGGTCAGAGATGAAAAGTTTTATGCCTGGAATTTCACATCTTTTGCAAAACACAGATTTCAAATTGATTGCGACATTGCTGAGAAAATCGCAAAATACGCTTTCTGTAAGCAAACAAGCCAGCAAGTTAATCAGCAAGAAACGAGACATCGTAGAGACTTCTAGTTTTTTATATTTGATTCGTGCTGCTCTATAGAAGAGCTGCATTGTTTTTAGGCAAGGTAGAAACAGCCGTTGCTTCAGAAAAAGCAAAAAACTTTCCTTTCTTACGAATTTTTCAAAACAAAAGTTCACTGTGATTTTTATAAAATTAAACTTTTGATGAAAAAAAAAATTTTAAAAATCTTTCAAAGAATGTTCGTTAAGCTTTAAACCTTCAAACATATGCTGAGCGAAGCTCAGCTGACGCGCTAGCTTTATGCCTTTAAACTTATGGATAACTTGGGTTTCTACCCGATACACTAGTTCTTAGCAATTTTTGCTCCTTAGAATCCAAAATGCCATCGGTTTCACATTAAGAAACAATCAATTAACCTCTATGCCAAATCACAACTTATAATCTCAAAAAAGTTCAAAGTTATAGCTAAAATAAATTATACATAGGTTTCCAACCCTTAGAATCCAAAATGGCATCGGTTATATATTCAGGTTATATACCACTTAACCTACATGCCAAATTTCAGATTAAAAGTTTAAAAGATACAAAAGTTATGGCAAAAAAATAATTTGGTATGAAAAATGTATGGAAAAAAGTGAATAACTCCGTGAAAAGCTCGGAAAACGCGTGGAAAAATATGAAAATGGAAAAATTTATCATAAAACATCATGATCTATCAAAAAAGTGTAAAAAGAATGAAAAAAAAGTTACTCATGGTGAGGCCTGAACCCGTGACCAATGAGTTGTGAGAAAATTCACTTTTTTAAGGGCTACGTAAAAATACGTATGTAAAACGTAAGGTAAAATTTCAGAAAGAGTTAATTTAATTAACCTTCCTTTCAGACGGACGGACAAAACGCAAGCAATAGCGTCATTTAAATTTTAAAATTTAAAATCAAAGTTAAATGTGTTATTTGCCAAAAATTTTACTTAAGATAACACAACTCGGTGGAGTAGAGGTAGCAACGCAGAATTTATCTAAGAACACAGCGGTCAGAAGTTCGAATCCCGGTAAGATTTATAAAATTTTCATTAATCATTTCTTCTTTCTTTCTTTCTTTCATAGCTTTGAAAATTAAACAGCATAATAAAAAAAAGTACACATTATATATGCAAAATAATAATAAAAAAAAGTTTCAAAAAATAATAATTTTTATTTATTACGTCCTTTAAAGTATACTCAAAGTATACTCTTTTGAGTACATCAATAGTCAGATTAAGATGTACTTTTATGAGTATATTAAAAGTATGTCAAACTAAGTATGCTCATTTGAGCATATGTTTTATGTGCTTAATTGAGCATAAAGTGTGTCACATGTGACATGACACATAAAAAAATGTTTTATTTCAAGAGTGTGCTCAAAGTATAACTGAGTGAGTATGCTCTGGTGAGTACACTTTTAGGCGTAAAGTAGTGGCACAAACTTTTGTATGAAAGAGCATACTTTTTAGAGTACACTCAGGAAAAATTAGAGTGTGCTCTTTCTGTGCTCTTTGCCAATTAGGGTATGTTGCTATTATATAGTAAGTGTAATTTACTAACAGCAAGTTGTTTTAACCCGTTAATTACGGAATTTTTTTGGGGCATTAGAGTGCATTTATTTGATGAATTGCAGTATAAAAATAAGTTTAACGAAGAGTTTGGCTCAAATAAATGCACAGATTTAATAGAATTAAAAAATTTTGTCCGTAACATATATGTTACGCTAGGATTTTGCAATCAAAAATTTTTTTCTTACAAAAATTTTAATTCTTTTATTTTCTCTTTTTCCTAAACTTATGTCAATAATGCGATACTTTTTTATTAATTATTAGCTATTTCACATAATTGGACTCTACTTTAAACACTCGAATTTATAGGAATACGAAAATAACTCAAATTTATTTACAATTTTATTTTATGCCATATCTTTGACATGAGACATTATTCAGCGTTCGGACCTCACCAACTCGTTATTTTCACTCTATTTTATTAACTAATGCATTATGAATCACTCGAAATCAGTAAAAATCACAAAAAAATCACTTTCAAATTTTCCTATAATTTTTTTAATCAAGTTTTTTCAAGTGTAAAAAAATCTTCAATGAAACACTAATTTTCATGTATTTGCCACAAAATACTTCACTCTTATCATAATTTAGCTGTCCACATAATGATTTGGCTTAAATCAAAGTCAAATCAATTAAATTAATTAAATAATTTTTTAAATCCAAAACACTAAAATATTTGCAAAAAACTAGCGTTACACATATGTAACGGGATATTTATATCGTATTTTCCTAGCGTTACATATATGTTACATTTATTATCGTCACATAGTTAATGTATTTAACTATGCTTTACCTTTATTAATGAGTTTTTAACTATATTTATAGACCATTTACTTTATAAATCTGTCTAGTTCTGATGAAAAATGTGTCAGAAAATGTGAAAATTTTGAGTTTCAAAATGTCTAAATTTTCCACTTAAAAGAAAAGTTTAATTATCTTCTCCATTTTACACAATTAAGCATCATGAAATGTTAAGAAAGGTCCTTGATCTAGCTATAAATGTAAATCATTGATCAGATTCAATGTAAGATCAATTATAGCAGAGAATTTTACGAAAAAGTTGGCGTAACATATATGTTACGCTAGTAAAGAACGGGTTAATAATAACTAGTAAATTGCAAGTAGTAGAATAAAAAGACTAGAAAATTGCTAGTAACTCTCATAGAAAAGACCTGTATGAAGAAATCAAACGTAGAATTCTAGAATCTCCAAAAAAGAAATAACTATTTTATTTCTTATATTCGAACATTACAATATACAAAAAAATTACAATATATGGTTAAAATTTTACAAAACCGTTAAGTTCGTATCAAACCAAATATTTGATTTTTTTTTGTAAAAATGTAAAATTTAATATTTTAATATTCAAATTTAAATTTTTTTTAACTCATTTCTAATGCTCAATATTTGATTTTATAAATATGAAAATCGTATAAACAAACATTTGTTTTATGAGTATAATGCTTCCAGTTTCTAGCATTCGTGGTTTCCAGCCGATGTTTCATAAATAAATAAAAATATATGATATGCATTTAATTCTGAAGATTTATTAACATTAAGTAAACGTCTTCAAATTTGTTGATTTGGATTATCAAATGGAGAATTTTAAAATTTATTGCAGCAACCAAAATATATTTTTTGTTACTTCTGTAATTATACTCAACTCATAGAAAAAATATTCCAAAATTTTATATTTCAATAAAAAGTTTATTTGATCATTTTTATTTGTCATTTTCAGATAATTGAAATTTTCTCAATTTTTATGTGAAAAATTATTCGAGTTAAATTTGATTCTTACAAAATTACTTAATTGTAGCGATTCCAATAACTTTTCCAGAATGTTCGTCATTTTCCAAACAATCTATGAAAAATTTACCCAAATCATATTTTGAGATTGTTCGGCCTGGTGTCTTATCATATAAAACTTGGAATGGTGCAGAAGGTTCATCAGCAATGTGTGGTGGAAGTACAGCACGATATTCAAGTCCAGATTCTTTAACAATGTTCAGCATCCTCAAGTGATCAGCATTAATCTCATGGAATACTTTTGGGACTGCTTCTGGTGGCATGAATAAGAATGATGACATGCATGCTGAGAATTTTGTAATCCCGAATTTTTTCATAGCTTGAATGATATTTTTTGTCCCTTGGGACATGACTGTTGTTGCTGATGTATCATTTCTTGTCCCTAAAATTATCACAACACCATCAACGCCTTCAACAACTTTGTCAACGTCAGCTTGATTCAGAACATCACCTTGAATGACCTCAACTTTTGACTTGAATTCTTCTGGCAATGTTGATTCGTTGCGAATGAGCATTTTAACATGTTTGCCTGGTAAAAAAATTATCATTGATGAAGGTTAGGGACAGCAAATTCCCTAATAAAAATTTTGTCAGAGATTTTGTCTAATTTATGCTTAAGAATATTCTAGATTTTTTTCAGAGACATCAGATCGTGATTATTGAAATTCTGACAAAATTTTCACAAATAATTATTAATTTAATAATACCTTTTTTAAGTGCATATTCAACTGCACATTTTCCTGTCATTCCAGTTCCACCAAAAATTGCCAATTTATTCATCTTGCCTTGATTGTTCTGTTCACTTCCACCAATATGAATCGACTCACTAAAACTTCTCTTTTCTCTTACAACGGAGGTTGAAGGGTCACTAACGCATACACAAAAACTAAAAATGCTTAATAAAATCGCTGATATCAATTGAAATTTATTAAATTTAATATATAAAAAGGCAGACTTGACGTTTCGCCGGACAATGAATGTTGACATAATAATGATCGTGAAACTTTTAGATTGGAAAATAATTGACTGACTAATAAATGGCGGAATGTCAAATGGTTCCTTTAAATTCTTTTGAAACGTTAAACAAATTTTCACAATTTAAAAATAAAACCAATGAAGTTTACCGCTTGAATTGTAGCAACTGAATGAAGAACTATATTTTTATTTCTACTGTTTTTAAAGCACTGATTTCATACTTATTTGATACTCTGTTTTTATGCTTATAGTTTAATGTTTCTAATAATCCATGTTTTTATTTTGTTTTATGTTTTTAAAATTTTTGTCTTTTTAAGAAAAGAAAAGTTTAAAACTCAAGAAGGTTCTTTAAAATATAAATGCACAATGATTAGTCAGTCTTTATAAACAATAGCATTAATATAATGTTTAATAGGTTGAACTTTGAACAAACTAGACAATGAAACTCATGAAAGCTGTCTCATTTTTAAATATTTACATTTTATTATTATTTACTATATTAGGAATATTTTTATTAAATATTGAGACAATGTTACTGATTAAAATCAATCTTTGGAATAAAAAACATTTAAAAATTTAGTACAATAGTTTCATGAAAACAAACTTTTGGAGTTTAAAGTCACGATTTTAGAAAAAAAATTAAAATTTTTTTTTTATTTTTCTATTTTCATTTCAGTTAAGCTTAGCTTTAATGTTCTGTTAAAAGAAAAACTGTGATGAGTTAAAAAAATCCACATAGCGAATAATTATTATGCATTTGATCTGTTCTTTTAGCAAAAGTGGACACTCCTCTACATTTAGGAGCTGATAGCTAAACTTAAAAGAATTTAAAACTTTTAAAATTTAAATATTTGATGACAAATTGTTAAGATCACAAAAAACATTTGTCTTTAAAACTTAATACTTACAGGTGTTTTTTGTCTGAATTTTTTTTTTGTTTGTAGTCGTCAATGTTCATGGAACATTTAAAGTTCAGTATTTTATAAAATTTCATTTAATTGATATCTAAACGATTAATTTTAAACTTTTCAAATATGAAAAAATCTTCAAATTGGGTGAGTCATTGATATGGAATCAAGATTATATTAAATAATTTTAAAATTTAACAATCTCAAATTTTAGGAAGTTTTCAAGTTATTAATGTGGAAGAATTACTTGCTTCAAATCAGGAAGCCATGGAGTACTTTGTTTGAATTCATTATGCCATTTTTTTGCTGTCTTTTACTTATTTATCTTCGATCACAAATTCAATCTAAAGTTTACAGCAATAGTATTAAATTTTCACCGCTTTCGCCAGACAATTATTCTTTATTTATGTAAGTTAAAAAAACTAGTTTTAACATTACATTACAAGGGTGATCAGATATTTTTTGAAAAAAAGGACCTGAAAGTAAAATATAAGACATCACACGTGTCTACTAATTTTATTCGTTTTCTAGACGAATCAGAACAAAATTTTTCTTTTTGAAAAATGAAAAATTGGAGGCTGTCCTCAGAAAAACCAAGCAGATTAGTCAGCCTATACATAGTCCCTAAAGCATCCCCTTAAGATATGACTAGTGTATGATAAAACTCATATTAACCAATATCCTAATTCTAAGTGAAGCCATAACTTAAAGCCTTACTTATTCAAAGCTTTATAACTTTTCAGATTAGGCAGATCAAACTACTTTAATACACATGAGTAATGCATAGTCTAAGAATAAACCTATAAGTTTCCATATTGCTTCATAATATAAGAAAAGTTTATTCAGCTTTGTTTATTAAGACAAAAACAGACAAATTCTTTTCATGTGTAAATTCAAGTCTAAAGTTTTGTCTTCAACAAATTAACCTTTTTGTTTGAAATGATTATATAATATTTTTTTATTTCTAGAAACTTTATCAACCATAGTGAAAACAGCAACTTTAACATTTTCAGCAATGATTCAATTAACAAATTAAAAAATCATTTTAAAATTGTTCCAGAAGTATTATACTCGCCACAAAATGAAATTATTGATGAAATTTTATCGCAAGTTGAAGATGAAATTTTATTACTTGGGGCAAAAATTACAGCAGTAAATAATTCCAATGAATTAGAATTAAAAATGATGGCAGCTAATTGTTTGGTTGGAATTGAGTTTCCTGATGAATATATGGTAACCCTTACTAAATTAATAATTTGAATCAAATAACTTTTAAATTCAATTCTAGAACCTTAAATCAGTGCCATCAGTATTGAATTATAACATCAGATTACCTGGCGAACATCGAAGTGCAAAAACTTTAGATATAATTAATGATAATTGGCAAACAAAACATCGCTTTACTTTATTTCCTCTAACAAGTCATCGAACAAACAAGAGTGATGATGGATCTCCAGTGAGATATTATGACGAAGGATTTTTACTAGTACAAAGTTTGATTTTTGAAGGTTTTATGAAAAGTATTAATAAAAGCTCAATTGGAAATACTCCCAGGATTTATATACAGGTTAGTGATATTTGTTAACTATTTTGAGTTTCGATTGGATAAAGAATAGCATTATTAAACTTAAATTAGATAAAATTGATATATTAATTGAAGGTAAAACTTTTTAATATTACTGGGCTGAATTATTTGTATTTCTCGAGACCGAGACTTCCCGGGAATTTTCGGGGTCTCGACTTTGGGGGAAAGCATACTTATATGGTCTATGGTATTGCAAAGTTGTGCAACTAAATGATATCGTGCTGCACTGGGTTGACTTAATTATTGATAAACCATGATAATAATAATGTGATAGGGTTCCAGCCAATCGTTGTGTTACTACATGTTGCGACGAGCTGAAGGCACTGCGATCCTGATCGATGATAAAATCGATTGTACCGTATCGAAAAACTATACATTATTTACACTTATTTACCTATTTTATCACTTTTTCTTTATAGAAATTTCCCTATCCAAAAGGAATCGAGGAAAAATTTATTCCAAGTTTAAAACTGATCTTGCCAATGCTTATAACTTTTTGTTTCATCTATCCTAGTATTAACATTGTTAAATACATTGTCGTCGAGAAGGAGACTAAATTGAAAAAAATTATGAGGATTATGGGAGTCAGTGTAAGTTGTAAATTAATAATCTTCATCTGACTTATGTGTGTTTAATATATAGCAAGTGTGAAAACTATTTATAATAAATACTTTCCCTCTTTTTTTTTAGTCGAATCTCCATTGCTTCACGTGGTTCGTCAAAAGTTTCATCTACTACTTTTTAATCACACTTTTAGTTCTTACCCTTTTGACAGTCAATTGGAATGGAAATGGAACAAGTGTTCTTGCTAAATCATCAATTTCAGTTCTTTATGTTTTCGTTATGATATATTGCATAGTTGCAATTTTTTTTGCATTTATGATTTCGTCTTTGTTTCAAAAATCCAGCATTGCAACAGCTGTGGCTGCATTTTTGTGGATTTTACAAATTACACCATATGTAGCAAACAGTGAAGATAATGCGTATGAAGAAGTATCAAAAGTTAAGAAAGTTATTATGTCGTTATTGCAAAACTACGCAATGTCAATTGGGATGAGAATTATTGCTACTAAGGAGATGCATGAAGGTGTCCAATGGAATAATTTGTTTCAAAAGTTTAATGACAATATTAGTTTTGGTGAAATTATGATTATGATGATTGCTTGTGGAGTATGGAAGATTTTTGTGATTATTGGAATTAAATACATTAGAAATTTGATAAAATTAAAAAAATCTAAGGAAACGGAATGTGCTGCTGAAATAGATGCAAACAAATCAGAAGCAAATAAAATGTTCTTAAAGATTCAAAATTTAACAAAATTCTACCCAAACTCATCAAAACCAGCTGTCAAAAATTTAAATTTGTCCTTACATCAAGATCAAATTACCATTCTGTTGGGCATCAATGGAGCTGGAAAATCAACAACAATGGCAATGCTCTGCGGTGAAATCAAACCAACATCTGGAACTGTTTTTATTGAAGGAAATAATTCATTAAAATCTGGCAAAATACGTCACAAATCGACAGGTATTTCATTTCAAGAGAATGTCCTTTTTAACAATCTAACCGTCTATGAACATTTATTGCTGTTTGGAAGATTAAAAGAAAATTCAAAAACTGAAGCTGAAAAAGAGGCACAAAAATTTATGACAATTTTAAATCTTCATGCTAATGATTTTGCATGTAACCTTAGTGGTGGGATGAAAAGAAAGCTTTGTTTAGCAATCGCATTATGTGCTGACTCAAAGTTTGTAATTCTAGATGAAATCACTAGTGGAGTTGATCCAACATCGCGTCGTGAACTTTGGAATTTTCTGCAAAGTGTGAAGAAAAACCGATCAATTTTTATGTCAACTCATTACATGCTAGAAGCTGAAGTTGTTGCTGACAAGATTGCAATTTTATGCGAAGGAGAGTTAAAAGCTTATGGAACTCCATTTGAACTTAAACAAAAGTTTGCAAAAACTTGTAAATTGACATGTGTTAAGCAAGTTTCATGTGATTCTCAAATTGTAACCGATTTTGTACAACAATCGATACCAAATGTAAAAGTTGCATGTGAAAATGGAATGGAAATTTGTTATAAATTTGAATGTGATGAGGTCTCAAAAATTCACAATGTGCTTGAAAACTTGGAAGATAACATTAAAAACCTGCATTTAGAAAGTTTTGGTATTTCATCGTCATCGATGGACGATGTTCTTGAAAAGTGAGTTATATTTGAACCATTTTGCTGAAATTATGTCGAGCATCTAAGCGCTCAGCAAAATGTCGACTGACATTTGGTTGTATATTCAGCAGAAACCTAGTAGAAACCGATAGAATCAACCAAAATCTACACAATGAAACAATAATAATTAAATTTTAAATTTATTTCACAGAGTGGATGATATTCTGGATGATCAGCAGTTAAATCATTGCAAATTGATACAAAACCAAAATAACAACCGTAAAGTTAATGAGCTTGCGCAATCTTGTAAGCTTATTTTTCTATTGTTCTTGATTTATGTTTAACTTTTTGATTTTTATTTAAGACAAAATGTGTCAAACTTCAAACGATTCAAAATGTTTATTTTTTAAACATTTAAAGGCTTTAATGATTAAGAGAATAATCGTGACCAGAAAAAATTTCAAACTTTATTTTCTGCAAATTTTTCTGCCTGTCCTTTTTGTATTTTTTGATATTTATTTTGGCTATGATGCATCGATAATCGTCAAAACACAACCACAATTAGAATTGTCAATTCAAACTTATACAGATTCCAGAACATTTATCAAATTAGGAGACAATGTAGAAAAAAACACCTCATTGCACGACATTTATGAATCCTACAAATTGATGATAAATAATTTTAAGGATAAAAATATAGAACTGGAAGAAATTGATGGATTAATGGAAAATACTTTTTTAAGAAAATCAAAGACAAATTTGGACTTGAATTATCGAAATTTATTTGGAGTCTCAATACATAAAGAGAATGTAACTGCATGGTATAATAATCAACCTTACCATACGTTACCAATTACACTTAATCTTATTCATAATGCAATATTGAAAGCTTCATTTGGGAATAAGTTTGGATTAAATGTTGGAAATAAACCGTTGCCATATCGAAATGAAACCAGGGTAAGTTCCATGTGACTCATATTTGCACATATGAAAATGATTAACGACTATTTGAATAAGTTAATGCTGAATTATATTTAAATGAAAATTAAATAAGTTATACTTGATTTTTCTTTTCTTTTGCAGGCTGCCAATCTTGCATTCGTTCATTCAAGAGTAAATCTTCAACTTTATCTCATCATTAGCTTTGCATTGTCGGTTTCGTATGCAATTTTTGTAATTGCGGTTGTGAAGGAAAGAATAGGAAAGGTAGGAGTTGTTGATTATTATATTTTCAAAAATTATGACTAATGCAAATCTTAATCATGTAAATGATCACTTGTAGCCAATGTAAATTTTTGCATAGTCTTTAAAAAGGTGACTTTTCTTATAACCTTCCGGTCTCGGGTTCAACACGATTTTTTGACATGAAATTTGGCAATAAGATTTTTTTTTGACATTATTAAATTTCATTTTCTCCCTGAATTTTGTAAGGAGAATATATGTTTTGGTCAGTCACGAGCAACCTCATTTTTGCTAGTTTAAATGTTTCTGTCCTTTAATTTAATTAGATTAAAATGTTAATTTGATTCCTTCTATTCTGATTCTTTTAATCTTTTAGTCAAAAAATATGCAAATCACAGTTGGAATTCATCCAGTAACATATTGGCTTTCAATTTTCATTTGGGATGTTCTAGTTGTATTGATTATTGCAATAACAACATCACTAGCAGTAGCTGGAACTTTTTCAAATTATGAAACCATTGACTCGTTAAACATAAGACTTGAAAATTTTCTCAAAATATTTTTAATGTTAATAATTTGTGGAATTTCTGTTCTTCCAATTACTTATGCCAGCAACTTTTTATTTGCTTCGCCGTCATCAGGATTTATAAAATTAGTTCTTATTTATATCATTCTTGGATCGACAGTTTTTACTATAAAAAATGTTTTTAAAGAGTCATTGAAAAACTTGCCAGCAATTGAATTTTTATTAGGAAAGACATTTCTGCCAGTTCCACATTACAATTTCTGTGATGTTATGAAAAAGTTTGTAGAAATAGATAATGCAAAAGAATTTTGCAATGTTCAATGTAAATATTTCGATATTTGTGATGAAGATGAACAATGTAAAATTGCAAATCAATGTTGTGGTGAGTATTACATAAACAAGGAGAAAGATATTAAAAAGTTAAATTTTAAAATATAATAATATTTTTATTATAACAGATACAAACTATTTTACATGGACCTCTAAAGGCGTTTTGTGGAGCATTACAAGATATATTGTTGTTATATTAATCGGTTTCTATACTTTATTTTTGGTTGAATCTAAAGCAACTCTGTCAATTTTCAGAAAATTTAAAAAATTTGTTTCAAGAATCCCAATTAAATTCCTGAACCGATCAAACACTAGAAAATGTTCCATAGAATTAAATTCGAATACATTCAACATTGATCCTGATGTAGAAATTGAAAAGAGAATGGTTCAAAATTTTTCTGAGGATGATTTTAAAAATTACAATTTAGTATTAAAAAATTTATCAAAAAATTTTCATTCAAAACAAGCTGTAAAGCAAATTTGTGTCGCTGTTAAACCTGGTGAATGTTTTGGGCTGCTAGGTGCCAATGGTGCTGGTATGAAACAAACTATAATTCGAATGTGTTTTAAAACATTTTTAAAAGATATTTTTTCACTATAAAATTGTAGGAAAAACAACAACTTTCTCTATGCTTACTGGAGACGTCTCAGTATCAAGTGGTGACATTTTCATCCAAGGTTTGAATCTTAAAACAAATTTAAAACGAATCCACAAAATTATTGGCTATTGTGGACAATTTGATGCTCACATTGACGAATTGACAGGACGAGAAACTTTAACTTTTTATGCTGAATGTCGTGGAATAAATAAAAGGGATATCCAGAATTGTATAATGCAATTAGCGACAGATTTTGATTTTGTCAGCCATTTGGATAAACAAGTAAGATTCTTCAGTGGCGGAAATAAGAGAAAATTAAGCACAGCAATCGCATTAATTGGTGACCCGCAAATAATTTTTCTTGATGAACCAACATCTTTTATGGATCCACTCGTAAAGAAAAAATTTTGGAATCAAATTGCAAAACTTCGTGATAGCGGCAAGGCAATAATTTTATCATCGCATAGCATGGACGAAGTTGAAGTTTTGTGTACAAGAATCGGAATTATGATGAATGGAGACTTAAAATGTCTTGGATCGCCACAATATTTAAAAAATAAATTTGGTAAAACAATTGTCGTGACTTTAAAGTTAAAAAAGATTGAAGTAAATGTGGCAGCAAAGTGTGAAGTAAAGAGATTTATAGATCAAGAGCTTCCTGGTGCAATATTAAAGTAAGTTTGAATTGAAATTTTTATTTTTTTGTAGATTTTGATTTTTATTTTGATTAAAGGGAAGAGTTTCACGACATGTTAATTTACCATCTTACCTCAAAGTCGTTCAAATGGTCAAAAATTTTCAAAACAATTGAAATAGGAAAGGAAAAACTAAAAGTAATCGATGATTTTGATGTGAATCAGAGCAACATGATTCAAGTGTTTTTACAAGTCACATCAGAAAGCCAATCATTTTAATAAAAATAAATATTTGATTTTGAATTTTAAATTTACCAAAAATTTAAAATTTTCTTAAAGGTCCTTATTTCTCTTGATTACACGACTGCATTTAACAATGATTCATTATTTTTTGTGTGAGAAAATAAACGTAATAGCCAGATAACAGTATATCGTTGCGCTTATCTATCGACACAATAAACAATTTTGCAAATGTTAGTCTTCTTTCAGTCGTCGTAATCAAAAGTCGAAAAATGAAATCTATTTTTTATTTATTAAGTTAATGTAAGTGCTTATGCTCTATTTAAAAAATTTTATAATGTGAGCTTAAATAATAATTAACAGTTTAGTTTAATTAAAAATAAGAAAACAAGTTAAGATAAACATAGTTGAATACTTTTAAAAATAATGTTAATGTTTTAGTAGAATAAGTCAAAATTTTAAGTATCTATGGACATTAAATAAAAAGTTTCAAAATTTAAAAATTTAAAAAAAGACATATAATCATGTTTTTCAGTATTCAGTTCACAAAGTTGATATCTTGTTTCGTACATTATCAGAATGATTATGAATCATCAGATTCTCAAACTAAGGTCGTTCAAATATTATGTTACGATTATTGAACAGAAATAAGTCAAATATTTTTTAATTTTTCAAATTATCAATTTTATCTTGATTTTATATTAATAAAAAATTAATAATAAATTTTTTACTTAATTTTAGACTTTTATATCAACAAAATGAGTCTTGAATATTTGACTTTTAATTGCAATGATCTTCAAGAGAGTTTCAGTTATTTAATATCGTCAAATAATCGTGAAGTAAAATTAGTTTTGAAATTTAAAATAATAATTTCAAACTTTTATGAGAAAATAACGCAAAGAAATTTGAAGAAATTAAACAAGTGGTTCAGAAAAAATTCAGTTATAATTCTGTATGAGGATGCAAATGAAAAAAAATTTGGAATTCTATGGAAGTCGAGCAAAATTAAACAATTATTATTTCTACAATCCGATAAAGAGTTTTTGACAAAAGATGATAAGCATTTAATTGAATTTATTGCTGTATTTTTCGAGACTTGTTTACATTCGGGATATCTAGGTATGTATTTATATAGCATGCAACTTAATAAATCCATAAAACTTGTTTTTAAATAAATTTTAAAAAACTTATCGCTGGCGGTAATTATAGGTATCCAAAAGAACCAAAGCAGCATTCGAAAACAATTTGAAATTACACTTGACTTGATAGCTGATTCTCGAAATTATAACTTGTTGTTTTTGGCTTGTGAATCTGGAAACCTTCCTGTTGTTGAGACATTATTGAAATATGGCATAAGTTCTGATTCATTAGAGACAAATCTTCAAGATTTAGCATGGCAAGGACAACACTCAGATGTTATTTTAAAGCTGTTAAGTAAAAACTTGCCATATCCTAAGTCTATTGACGTCAATGAATGTTCTGAAAATTTGAAAAAATTCATAAACATTTCTATTGAATTTCATGAATCGATAAAATGTAAAAATCGGCAACGATTAGATGAAATTTTGAGTCTCTATCCAAAACTTTATTACTTTTATAGCTTGTCAAATGAATCTGCTTTAAAGATTGCATTAGATTCAAGAGATATGAAAATTTATGAATTTTTAATAGCTCGTAATTTGAAATTCGCAGATCATGAAAATACAGACACGATTTTTGAATCATTAAACCTTACATACAAAGAAGATTTAAATGCAATTCACGTGAAATATTTAAAAGATTTGCCTGAGAAGCATATTAATATTTTATTGGCCAACACCTCTCTCAGCCATGATGAAAATGACGAGGAAGGAAAAATGAAGCGTGTTCAAAATGCTTTTCGAGTTCTTAATAAAGAACCTAAAATTAAAATCATTCTTCAAATTATAGCAGCATCAAAAAAATTCCACATTGTTTTTGACTTTTACCGTGACTCAACTTACAGGATTGACCCAACAACCAGTGCTCATACAACTGGGATATTTTATTTTACTGGAAGAATTTTGATTGGTGCGAAACAACTTCTGCAACCGGAAACAGAATATGAAGCTTTTGGAACGTTGGCACATGAGCTATGTCACTGTGCAATGAACATTTTATATGAAAATAAATCAAATCCGTATCCACCAAAAGATAGAAAAGCTATTGAAAACTTTGAGAATATATCACAAATTTGTAAGGATAAAAAAGATGCCGAAAAAATTATCAAATTTGTTTTTGAGAACTACCCGAAAAACCAACAGCATTCAGAATTGATTGTTCGACCAGTACACATGATGGCTCATTATATGAGTGAACCAGAAGTTTTAGAACAAAAACGAAGGATTTTTATAGAAATTTTTAATCACTTTGAAAATGTCATCATTCCTGCTATGGAGGCTATTTTACCAGAAATAGAGGAAAGATTAACATATAAACCAACTTTTGTATATAATAAGCTCTCAGATTTAAATCAAAAGAAGGTCCAAAATGCAATTGTAAAGTATAAAAATGTGAAACTTAAATTTTGTGAATTATTTTCTTGTGATTCAGTTCCTTATGAAAAATTGACTCCTGAACATATTGCTCAATTTTTAGATAATAAAGTGCTAAATCTAAATGATCCACATATGCACTATTTAGACAAATTAGTAACTTTCGAATGGAGAAATTTAACAGAAAAATTAAAACAAAAGTTTCTAAGTTCAAATTTAAATTTTCAAAATGTAAAAGTTAAGTTTAAAAATTTGGAAAATTCTTGTTCAAAGGCATTCAATTTCTTAACATCAGAACAAATTATCAAAATTATTAGCGGGAATACAATCGATATAGATGAAAAATTCGTACCTGAATCAGAATTTTATGTCGATCGTAAATTCATGCCTGAAGATGGACGACAAATCTTCTTTGATTATGAATATGGACATGAGTACAATCATAATAAATATATTGAAGAAGAACACAAAAAAACTAGACAAATTTTTTTAAATAAATCTTTTGAGGAATTCACACATGACTTTCTTAGTCAAAATTTGGACACAAGGACAAAAATAATCGATAAAATTAAACAAAACTATTTATATAAAATCAGATATTATGACTTAAGTGGAGATTATATTAAATGCTTGCATCGAAACATGTGCGATATTATCCAGCAAACTGAAACTGAGAAAATTTTTATTTTATCATCAGAAGCTGGAGCTGGAAAAACTGTAAGTTTTGAACATCTTACAATTCAGACAAAAAGTCAATATCCAACTCGTTGGGTCTCATTCATTGACCTTAAAGATCACACCAAATTTTACATTCCATCGTTACGCAATTTTGGACATTTTTTCAAAAAAATAGAAAATATAGAAAATTTGTTAAGAAGCATTTTGGGGTTAAGTGACAAAAAGTCTACACTTTCGAACAATGACTTTGAGACAAACATTTTCTCAGAGTCTTTCGAATCAGGCAACATGATTATCCTTTGGAATGGCTTTGATGAAATTTCGCCAACTTATAATGAATTTATTTTGACACTCATAAAATTCATCTATGAAAATACAAAAATAATCCAATATGTCTGTACCAGACCTTTATATTGCAAACAATTATCAGACGCGTTTAAGCTTCGACCATGGCAATTAGTACCTTTCAATGAGGATGAAAAAGTAAATTTTCTGAATAAGTTTTTCATTTCAAAAAAAGTAGAAGAACAATTAATTGCAAAATTTGTTTCAAATGTTCTGAAAATTGTAAAGAAATTTGAGTTTCAACATAAAGTTTTTCGGGACTTTAATACACCATTAATTTTAAAATTAGTCGCAGAAATTTATGAAGATGAAAAACTTTTTGAATCAGCAAATTTGTATGGAATCTTTGAGACATTTGTTAGGAAAAAAGTACGAATCTGGATTGAAAAAAGTGAATTTGCAAGAAAAACAAGTGAAAATTTGATCATAAAAAGCTCAAAATTTAGTATCATTGAAATATTTCAAAAATTTGCATTTTTTAGAGAATTTAGAATTTTATCAGGTACGACACTTGGTTTGAAGCTTAAAAAACTTCAATTTATGCAGAAAAAAATTCCAAAAGATCTTCCATTTGAGGAAATATCGCGAATAGGAATTTTATACATTGACGGTGAAAATAAATTTGAATTTTCGCACAGAACTTTCGGCGAATTTTTTATAGCTCAATATTTTATTGAAAACATTTATTTAGCAGATGATGATGTGAATATTGATGAAGCTGAGTTAAGACTTGAAATTTTTTTTAGAATGTCAAATGAATATGGATTTTTAAAAATCATAATTGACTTTATGGATTACTATTTAAAAATTGGAAATGAAGATGACAATAAGATTTTAAGTGAGACATTTTCTGAGCTATTAAGAACCAAATTTAAGAGAGTTATGATGAATTTACTTAATACAAACCATCCTGAAATATTTAGATTCCTTTTCGAATTTTTTAAACGTGATCATGACCTTTTAGTGGAATTGCTTCATGTCTATCAAAAAGAAACATTTTACACAGCAATTTTTAATCCGAACAATTTTGCAGTTGTATTAAATCCTCAAGAAGTTAAATCTTTAGCTCAAAAATACTTGTCACAAAATGAACTTGAATATTTTCTAACTGGAAAGAATCAGAAAGGGACAATTTTAACCGGAATACACTTTTATGAATCTTTAGGAATAATCAAAACAAATTACGAGTTTAGCTTAAATTCGTTCGGCAATAAAGTTCATATTTTTGATTTAATTAAGGAAATTAAAGGTAAATTAACTTTAGAAGAACAGAAAGAATTGTTTCTTACATTTATGAGTCCAAAAATTTATTTGTACTTTAATGAAAAAGTTTTTAAATTTTCTGATGATATTGTAGAGTTAAATGATAATGACAAGTTATCTTTGGGTTGTCCAGCTGATTTTGCATCAAGCACAAGCGCAGGTTTAGTTCAAAATCTAAAATCATTTTTCAATCATTCAAAAGTTCTTCCTTCTAAATCTGTAAAATATGCTTTTGAAACATCAAATTCCACAAAATCTTCAAAATTCAAGAACGACTTAAAAATTGATGAACATGTTAGCTCTTACAATATGAGAACTGCTAAAAGCTCAAATATGCCTAGTAACTCTGATCATGTTGTTAAAAAATCAATATTTTTCGAACCGACTCTAAAAACTTCAACAAATTCAAATTCACATAATAAAATCCACGAATCAATTTCAATTAATTCAGACAATTTAAAATTTAAATTCTTTTGGGAAACATTTGAAAATCTTTTCACTTCTGAAGAAATTAAAATTGCAATTGGAAATTCAATTATGGACTATCTAGAAATTTATGGGTGCAAAAAATCTGCAGGAAATTTTTTTCTTTCCTTTTTGCTAAATAAATGTGAACAATTTCTCACAGATTCACAAATATTTGAAATATTTTTGTCACGAAATATAATGCATGAAGCTGGTCGAGGCAACTTTGAAGTTATGTGGAATTTTCTTTGCAAACACACAACTAAAGATGAAAGAAAGGAAATTTTGCTTCAAGATAATGAAAATGATGACAAAAATTTCTACTTTTATTACTATGCAGAAATGGAAATAAAGAAAAATTTCTCAAATTATCCATATTATTATTACCATTATGACTTTACACCTTTCAAAGTCTTTCATCGAATCATGACAGTTCCTGATGCAGCTTCATTTGACTTTATTAAAAATATTTATCTTGAACACTTTAGAAAAACTGAAATTCAGAAAATTATTTTAAGTTCAAATGATTTTTTATATTACTTAATAGGCAGAGTTATTGAAGGACCATGTAGAAAATTTGTAGCGTTTTTAGAAGAAATTTTTGATGGAAACAAAAAACTTCTTAAAGAATATCTTGATCGTAAAATTAAACCAACAAATTTGACAATTTTTCAATATTTTAATGACTTTAAAGGAACAAATGAAACTCTTTACTTTGAAAACTTAAAAATATTTATAGATTTGTATGAGAAAATATCAAAATAAAAGTGTTTACAATTACGAAAAAATATTATTAATGATTAATAAATTTTTCTCTTAATCAGAATTGCAGGACGCTGGATGTACAAAATTTTATTTTACAGCTATTTGTTAATTTAAATCAACAGACTTCTAAGCATCAGAAAAATGAACACTGTGTGGACCATTGTTTTTAAAAATTTTTGAAATTGACTTTACAATAAAAGATTTTATTTTTTCGCATCCGTTTTTGTTCCTGATGTGCTGCTAACCATAGGAGAAAAATCAAACTATATATACATATATATATATATATATATATATATATATATATATATATATATATATATATATATATTTATATATATAATTTTATATATATATATATATATAAAATCAGCTGTGGTCAACAACAACAAAATTAAACTAAAAGAATTAAAGCACTAATCGAATGAGAGTTTTAGTAACTGAACCATATATTCAATAATTATTGCCTTGTATTTTAAACAAATTATTAAGTCATCAGAAAATATAATATTTTTTAATAACATAGAAACTGAGTGTTGTTATGACAATTCCTTCTAGATTTTTCACATTCATTGTATATTTTCCATCCAGTCTAAACGACGCTATCAATTTTTAATAAACTTATAACTTAATGTTTTCTTTTTATTAATGATCATCATTGCTTTCGATGCTCGCATTGTGAAAAATAAACATTTACTGTCAACAAATTTTAATCTCAATGCACTGTAGTCCGTTAACTATAATGTCAATTACAAAAACACTTGGTTCGAATATTGTCACTCTCGGGAACACCAGTATAGGTGATTTTAGCCAAAATCTCTGTTATACTTCACACTTACTTTAAACTTCTGATGACTTAATAATTATTGCATATATGGTTCAGATACTAAAACTCTCATTCGATTAGTGCTTTAACTATTTTAGTTTAATTTTTTTGTTGTTGACCACAGCTGATTTTAAACATAAGATTTAAATCATGTTAACAAAAAAAATATAAATTTTCAATACTTTCAATATTCCAAACATATTTTCTAATAACTTGTTTAAGAGTTTAAGTAGCAGCTTTTTACGCGAGATGAAGTTTTTGTAATTCTGCATTGTTACATAACCTAGAATATATCAATGCAAAGTATCAAGCATGAATTTCTGTAGTTGCGATTCACACAAATTGATTTACGATGACTTGAATACTAAAAAGCATCCAAAATTCGACTTGACCTTTTTGGGATCGAACCTGGGTCGTTAGGGCTGGTTGACTAACACTCTGACCGCTACAATTTAATATTTTTTAAAAAAAATAAATTCAACCACGATAATATCGTAAATAATTATGAGATGCATAAATTTCTATGGCCAACCGAGAAAAAACAAGTTCGAACCTGTTCATAAGTTCTGATTTCATTGAAGAGATGTGGAATTTTTTTCTAAAAAAAGGCAAAATTTTAATACAAAATTATTAAGTCAATACCAGTTTTGTTTTTAATTTTAAATATTTTCTTAAGTATTTTCTCAAAATTGTTTACTTTGAAATTCTTCATTTTCTGATCCTCCTGCATAAATTCTCGCTTCAAATTGTCAATTCTCTCAATTCTCGAAAAAAAAATTCATTCTCTCACGTTTACATATTGAGCAACATTGATCCTCATTCTAACAATATTCTATACAATAAACCTTTCGAGATCAGTAAGTGTGGGGAGAAAATTTCACTAAAAGATGAGCAAAAGATTTTAAATCAGAAAAATGAGAAATTTTGTATAAAAGTCATTGCAGTTGCCTAGCTCAGGCTATTCAGTTGGATTATTTCGTCATTCGTGGACTAGAAGAAGCGGTAGGATCTTCACAGTTTTATTTTTTTTTTATGGTGATTAAAATTCTCTTTTATTTATTACCTTCTTATCAGTCTCATAAATCTTTCAAATTTGGTTGCTTAATGTAAATGGAAATTTTTTCTTCTTGTCAAAACCGCGGAGTTATGTGAAAATAAAGAAGAAAAGGACAAAGGTTATCGCATTATAAAAGGTGCAATGTTCCGATAATCTGTTTTTGTGAATAAATCATATGACAAATTCTTATATTATATGAATTTTTTAAGTGAAAATGTACCTTTTTGCAAGATTTGTAGAAAATAATCTGATAAAGTATGTGAAACTAAAAGTGGAAAAATTTAAATTGCAAAAAATATTGCTAATATCTTTAACAATTGTGGATAATAAAGCAAAACAAAGAAAAGTCTTGAATTCTTAAGAATATTAATAGGTAGAAAAAACTATTAAATTGAATCAAAGTGAAAAATAATAGTGGCATTGACATTGACTGATTCTTATTGTTGAAAACATCACTGGAATCTATTAACACAGAAGAAAAACACCAAAAATTCAATTAAATATTTGCATCTAGATTGTGAACAAAAAATTTTTTTGTTGTTTTTGTTCAATATCTTTTAAAGTTGTCTCAATCTTAATTAAAATGTTGAATATTATTTTTTTCTATTTTTAATCAAATCATATTTTTTGGTGATCATTTCGATAATAAGCAACCAAAAATGGATTTAAGAATCTCGTTAGCACTTTCTTCAAACTTATCTTGCTCTGAAATTTATTCACCTATTCTCTCAAATTCTTAACTTTAATCCGCTCTTCTTTCAAATTTTTATATTTGCAGTGCATCATTTTAAAAGTTCATTGAAAGGTCTAACTGAATTTTAATATATTTATAAAAAAAAATATATATGAAAATAAAATAATTTGTGTGCATGCAGTACATTGAAAAGACTGATAATTTTGTTGAAATAAAAATAAATTAAATAAAGACAGTGATAAGACAGAGACTGATTTGAGGCTGTTGATCACGTTAACAAGAATTATGGGCTCCCGACGGGTCCAAATCATTTGCTTATTGGCATGTCTTGTGATTCATTCGTCTGTTGCTGGTGAGTAATTTTTATTTTTTATTCGAAAGAACTTCATAAGTTTCCATTTTTAATGTATCTATAATTCAATTTACTTACTAAAGACAAATACAATTTAGAAATTAGTTTATCTAAATTGAATAATTTTTGAACACACATTTTATTTTATAAATAAGATTTCTTACGAAGAGTTCGAAGATCGGCTCTGTCACGCATAGAAAAAAATCACTGCTTATGGTACATTTCTAAGCATTTTATGTTTTATTTACACATACAGATAATTTTTTCATATAGTTTACTGTCAATGAAGTTAATCTTAAACGATGCACCAACGCAGTGCGCTTGAAAATAAATGGTTTTTCCCTTTACATATTTATTAAAATGTTTAGCTGTTACTATTTTTATTTATTTTTCAATACACGATTATTTGACGTGCTTATGGTTAAGTGGAAGAAAAATTTATAAAATGTTTTACTATCAAAATTCAAAATGATTTCATCTAGCTTGTATCCTAATGAAACTTTATATTTAAAAAATTAATTTTTTACTTTTATCCTTCACTTGCTCTATGCATTCCTAGGGATTAGGGTGTTGAAAAATTTATTTTTTTCATGTTATGTAATAAGTGAACGAATTCTAATATTTGAGATTTTTCAAAATAATCATAAAAAGTCATTGAACTTTAAAATCTGATTTTTTTTAAATTACGATATGATTAATTTTTTTTAAATGTATTTTTTTATAAAAAAAATTATAAAATTTCTAATTTTTAAAAAATAATGTAAGAAATTTCAAAAGCTGAAATACTTTCTTAGCATAAATCTTATGATAAGTTGTTCTTATCAATGATATTTAAAAAAATTCACATTATAAATCACAAAAGTACATCAATTCTTTTCAATTTAAAACTGTCTATCTTTATTATGATCCACTTCAATCATTTTGTGCCGTAAAGTTCTAGAACTAAATTCATTTGTTCTTTTATTTGCATTATTGATGTTGATATGGGATGTTGCAGTAAAAAATAAACTAGAGTGTGAAAATAAGAGCATCAACAATATAATCTTGGTTAAATGTTCTCGTTTAATTCGTAAAGCAATTTTTCAAACAATAGGTCACATATTATAATATAGCAGGCTCAGGGCATTACTTTTAATATCATTCTAGCGATACCTACATTAAATAAATTTTGCAAATGCAAATTTTGACTACAATTGACTCATTGCAAAATATTACAGAAATAGTTATAAAATATCACAAATAAACACTTTGAACATATTTCATCACTTTGAAGATCAATCATATTCACACAAAATTTTCAATTTTTGTGAATATATTTTACTGTTAAAATTATTTTTTTTAAAATTAAGCTGAATTATTTAAATGCATAAGTGGCAGTCGGCATCATGACTCACGTCCTTTTCTCTTTCCTTACAATCTAAAATCTCGTCAACAAAATATATTTCTAATCTAATTGAATTGCTTATCATGCAAATAATTGAGAATTGAAAATATGGTCAAGGAATGCCGGACATTATCAGTATTAAGTATCATTATCACTAAGTGAATGTTTTCGAAACGAAAAGTGATGGAAGCAACGTACAAAAGTAAAGTAAGATGGAGACATGTGAGTGAGCAAGTTTTAAGACTGATAAGAAGACTTTTAGCTGATGAAAATAAAATTTCATTTTTCATGACATTGCTGTTTTTTTTTCTTCTAAAGGTTAAACTTTCTGTTTGAATAATGATTTTTCTGAATAAAAAATTTATTTTTGCAATAATAAAGAATTCTTATTTAATTATGGTTTAGCTAGATTTTTCAAGATTCTTGTGCACTTTGATATTGTTGTTATTTTTATAAACTATGGGACCCTTAATAATAATAATGTGTGAAGGGCCCAGCCCTTCAGCTGGAGGCACTGCGATTCAAATTAGAACAGAATCTATTGTACCATACCCTTTAGACTAACAGTTTATAGTGGGATCCGAACCACTTGCAAGCTCTGCACATTGCAAAGACACAAGTACGTCATAAGACCTGATGTACCCTGCAATGTACCTAGTCACAATTCGTGTGCACAAGATGCCGTAAGGAAGTCATCCAGATGCTAGTATATCCTTGTATACCTAGCAAAGGAGGCATATTCTATGCCAAAGACCTCAATACTACACCCAGCATACGAACCGAGCTTCGTAACTAGAACTGTGAAAATGGAAAAGAGCTTCGAAAATTTGACATGGCCTGGGATTAAACCAGGACTTTTGGCACGTAAGGCCAACGCTCTACCATTTAGGCCACTGGTGCCATTTCACCGCTACAGGACCCTTGATTTTAAGTAAAATTTTGAGAGTTTAAAACACATTTTATACTTTGAGGTTTAAAAAGTTACTGAAAGTAATCTTTGCTCATGCAACAAGTCAATGTGCGGCCAGGATTCTTTACTTCGAGGTTCCAAAAAATTTTGTATTGTAAAAAATCAATAAAAACTTTTGTAAATTAACTGCAAAGTTTAAAGAAAGTATGAAATTTCAATCTCAATGGAGGGGGGTCTCCGGGCACCTTATAGCCTTTCCCTGGCTTCGCCTTTGTAACAAGTTATCTTATGAATTAAGATAAATCAAATATAATTTCTATTTTATTTTATTGTTTTTAAAAACTTTTGATTCGGTCATCATTTAATCAGATTCATTTAACAAATCTGAAATCTTAAAATGCAAAACTTTGAAATAGGAAACTCGTCAGATGGAAGGAGTCCTGTTCTAACATATTTCTTGATAATTTGTCTAGAAATATAAGTGTGTCTATTTATTTATTAAAAACATGCGAGCAAAAAATTGCAGATATGAAAACTTTTAGTCACTTTTGTCTTACAAGTTACAATCTTTACATGACCCCTTCCTTCATAAATTTTTAAAGAGTACTAAAAAGTTCAAAAATAAAATGATAAACTAAAATCTAGTATTAAGCTTTAATCTCAATTACGTACATTTTTATTATTGAAAATATTTTGACGTTCATTGAACTTTTGAAATACAAATCGGATCCAATTGTGATGGTGTCTATGTAGTTTTTACGCACTCATCATTCATAAATTTATTTTAATGTAAAGAAATTTTAATAAAAATCACTTGTCACTCAGTCAAAAATGTCCGTCAAAAGTCCATTCACATTTTTTGAAATCTGTTATCAGTATGAGTTTGAGATGTTTTTGCTATTGACATTGAAACATTAAAAAGAATCAAATACAATATAAATAATAAGCATGTTAATGGAACTTCAGATCAATTATCATCTTTATATATTTTTTTTTTGAATTTTTTTTTACTTTACTTTTGCATATTATTTTCAGAAAAATGCAAACCTTCCACCTGCTTCTCAAACAATAAATCTCCAGTATACAATCCTAAATCCGGTCAGCAATATACATATGATTTTGAATCAACGGCAACAGCTCAACTTGTAAATAAGGAGTCCGTTGAGACATCTGTAGCGATTCGTGGCCAAGCAGTCATTACAGTTGGAGATAACTGTGGTTATACATTGACATTACAAAATGTAATCGCATCCGGTGCTGATAATGCTAAACAAGTTATTAAAGATTTTGTAACACATCCCGTGCAATTTACGCTGTCTGGTGACGAGCTCTTAGCAGAAATCTGCGCTGATGACAAGGATGGAACCTTCAGTTTGAACGTTAAACGTGGTATTATTTCAGCTTTCCAAAATAGTGTTGGACGCAATACTGAAATTGATATTTTTGGAAAATGTCCAGTTACATCATCACAATCAACATCTGCTGGAATCACAACAGTCACAAAATCACGAGATCTTGATAATTGTGCTTACCGTGAAAAGTTTGTTAATGGATTAATGCAAGGTGTTGTGTCTGAGTCATCAAATATTAAAACAACTCCATTGGTCAACGGAAAAGTTACAACAGAAGCCAAATTCCAAAATGATATACTTCAATCATCAGAAATTAAGGAAATTTACAACTACCTCCCATTTAGCACAAAAGATCATGGTGCTAAAGCAAAAGTAACGACAAAATTGAACTTGAAGAAAACTGCAACCGGAACAGCAAATCCTCCCAAGACTGGAGTTCAACGAACAGTTTTATTTGTAAACACAAATGAAAATCTCGCTAGTACCAAGGTCAAAGAATCTATTAAAAGTGCATTTGATAAGGCTTTGAAAGAATTTACTGGACATGATGGAACAATCGCATCTACAGCTGCCACAGCTTTTGCTGATCTTGTTAGACTTATGAGATTAGCAAAAAAGAATGATTTGACTGTTTCATATCAGGTAAATTAATCATTTGCTTTAACACTTGTGTGATGCATGTGATCCTTGAATAAAACTAAGTTTTGCATTTATTTCTCTATTCTAGTCAATGAAAACAAACCAGCTCAGCAATCGTCAAAGTGGTAACAAAGCTCTTGGTCGTGCACTTTTCCTCGATGCTCTCTTCAGAACAGGAACAGGTGATTCAGTTTCAGCTCTTGTAGATCTCTCTAAAAAAGAGTTGGATGATAAAGAAAAGAACTTGATGTACTTGAGTTTCAATACAGTTACTTCAGTAACAAAAGATGCCATCACATCACTCGTAAAATTATTCGCTGATAATTTGCCTAAGGAAGCTTACCTTAGTATTGGAAGCATCGTTAGTAAATACTGTCGTGAACGAAACTGTGAGCCAAACGATATCAAAATAATTGCAGATAAATTCATCGCCAAAATTCCAAAGGATTGCGTAACAAAGAATAAAAAGGATGAGGAACAACTCGTATCTGTTCTTAAGGGGATCCGTAACAGTCAGACAATTCTTAACAGTGCCTTAAACAATATTATTGCATGTGCGAATAGTCAACGTCCAAGTCGTGTTCGTGTTGCTGCACTTCAAGCAATGACAGCTAATCCATGTAATAAAAAGTTACAACAATCAGCAATTCAGGTCATGAAGAGTCGTGATGATGACAGTGAAGTTCGTATTGAAGCTTATTTGACAGCAGTTGAATGTCCAAATGGTGCATTGGCTAATGAAATTCAAGCTATGCTGGATAGTGAAACAATAAATCAAGTCGGTTCTTATGTATCAACACACATCAACTCAATTCGTGCCTCAACTGATCCAAAACGTGAAGCAGCTCGTTATCAATTTAGAAATCTGAGAACCAGTAAGAAATTTCCATTTGATCCACGTCGTTATTCATTCAATCGTGAGGTCAGCTATGCTATTGATAGTCTCGGACTTGGATCAGCAGTTGACACATCTGTCATTTATAGTCAACGATCATTCTTACCAAGAAGCTTGCGCCTCAATGTTACTGGTAGTCTTTTCGGTAATTCTTTCAACTTCTTTGAATTGTCAGCTCGTCAAGAGAACTTTGAAACTATTGTTGAACGTTACTTTGGACCACGTGGAATCTTCAATCGTTTGTCAAAACAGGAACTCTATGATACCTTCATGAATGAATTTTCATCAAATGATAGATCAAAACGTGCAATTCCACAAGATATGGCACAGTTTGATAAAACAGTTAAGTTATCAAATGAATTTAATCGTGATCCAGATATTGATTTGTCAATGAAAGTTTTCGGAACTGAGCTTTACTTCTTGTCAATGAGTCAAAATATGCCTGCAACACCAAGTGACTTTCTTCAATTTTTAATTAAAGAAATGCAGAAGGGAGTTGATGCATTAAAAGATTTCAACTACAATTTTGAGAATCACGCACTTTGGCTTGATTCAGAAATCGTATATCCAACAGCTCTTGGTTTACCATTCAAATTAATCGCTACTGGAGCTTCAGCAGTTAAAATTGACTTATCAGGATCAATCGATGTAAAGAAAATTCTTGAAAATCCATTAGACTCAAAGTTTGAAATTAACTTCAGTCCAGCTGCTAATATTTTTATTGGTGCAACTCTTGGATTTGGCGCGTATGCTTACGAAACAGGTTTAGAAGTTTCTGGCACTGCTTATACTAACTCAGGATCAAACACAACTGTCGAATGGCAAGGTGGACAAAGTTTTACAATCAAATCAATTCCAACATTAAAGAATCAATATTTCGTTGAAATGAAGCATCAAATATCAACAGTATCACAAGAAACTGGACGTGAAGCTGTGAAAGTTCCAGTAAAATTCATGGGACATGAGTAAGATTTTTGTTGCTTTTTTAATTAAGTTTTTCTTTAAATTTTTTTTATTGCAGTCATGAAACATCACTCTGCTTTGATCAACTAGAATTCCTAACTGGTGCATCATATTGTTTTGAATTGGCATCAACACCACAAGGAAAACCAGATGAACATGCACTTTGGCCATTATATGGAAGCAGTAACTTTGCAATGCGACTAGAAATGGTTGACTCAATCACTTTTCGCACTGAACTTGATATTAGTGGTAAGATATTATTAAGGTTTTAAACTTGGTTGCTATCCTAATTTTGATTTTTCAGAAACACCATCAATCACCTTCTACCACGATACACCAAATGGAGGCAAGCCACGACAAACAACATTAAAACTTCTTTCAAGCATTAAACCAACACATTATTCAGCTGGGTTTGAGCTATCAGCACCAATTATGACTGGACCATTTGAAGTTAGTGCTAAAGTTGGCTTCGTAAATGAAGAAAACTTGAAGAAGCTTTACGGACAAGGAGGGTATCAGAAACAAAAATATGACTACGAGGTTGGTTTCAAGAAGCAAGGAAATGAAATTGTTCCAATTTTGAAACTTAATACTGACATGTCATATGTATCAGGTAAAATTATTGAATCGAAAACTTCAAAGGGTGTTTCATATGCACTTCAAACAATCAAATTTGGACGTGATGACTACCAAACAACAATTGATGGTTCGGTTAGTGTTGAAGGTCCAAAACTTGTTTCAAAGCTGAAATTTGATGTTGGTGGCAAAAAAGTTGATTTGGATGGAAGCCTTGGATATAATAAAGGACACTTTGATACAGATGTTACTCTTATGTCTGATAATATTCCGTCAGCAAATGGTAAATTTGAATATGATATCAAGTATTCTGAAAAGTCATTTGGAAATGACTTGACACTTGTTTGGGGCAAAGATTTATCTTCAAAACAAAATCGCATTGAATGGTCTCAAAAGGCAGAATGGGGTGGAGAAAATTGTAAAGTTAAGAATGAAATTACTCTTGGATACATTGATGCTGGTGCTAAATTTAATGGAGAGTTTGGAAAGAAGATCTTAAACCTTGATGCATCTGGTAATTATAAAACTTCAAATGCTGAACTTAAACTTGACAATAAATATAGTCAGAAGCAGCCACATGATTATGAAACAAGTTTCTATGCTGGATCAAACAAGAAATCTATCAAGATTGAAATGTCGAGAGACATTGAAGGTGAATCATCACGTGTCAAGAATAAATTGGAACTTTCTACTGGACTTAAAGTTGAATTAAATGGCAAAATTTCTCACAAGATTACATATAATGATTGCGATGTCTCATTGCAAGGAACATTTGTACCTGGTCCAAAGAAGGAAGTCACTAAAGTCACATACATGGTTAAGAATACACAAAAAGGACATGATGGATCCTGGAAGGTTCTTGTAGGTCGAAATGAAATTGCTACTGGAGAATCAAAACTTAATTATGGACAGGATATCAAGGGTATAATGAAAATAAATGTCAAGGATACAGTGAATGTTGATGGAACATATGAATCTAAGAAAGGAAAAGGAAATATGGTATTTAATGTTGGTCTTAAAGATAGAAAATTACGTGCTGAAACACAGTTTATAGTTCAAAAACCTGTTTATGATTTCGCATCAGACTTCTACTATGACTACGAGAAGGATAACAGCAAAAAAATCACATTCTCAACTAAAAATAAGGTTCAACCAAAAGCACTTGACTCTAAGAATGTTTTAGAAGTATTAAGTGAACGCTATGTCCTCAATTTTGGAGGATCTGTTGATGGTGAGACAATCCCAGGTGGACATCAAAAATTGAATTTCGATCTTCAACTTCCAACTGGAAGAAAAGTGTCAACTGATTTTGATCGCGACTTTAGTGGTCTTAAAAATGGAAAGGGAAATGGTAAAGTTCACTGGACATTCACAGATGAGCTCCCAAATCGACAACAAAGACATGGACTCGTTGATCTTACAATTAATAATATTGACATGAAGAATCGCTACTTTGACATGGTTGAGTCATTCAAGTACAAGGACTATGATAATAAAGATTACAAATTACAACTTTCTATCAAGAATCTTGCCAAAGGACATCATTTCGCAACAGCATCAGCAACAATCCAATCCGATGGAGCTCTAATGCCACATCCATTAACAGCAAACATTAAGATTGATGAATACTGCAAAGAACATGCAATTTATTCATTTAATGGCAAATATGGAGACATTGGTGATATTGATGTCAGTGGAAAATTCTATGCTGCAAATAATGAACGTCCATATTCACATGATTTTACTGGAAAATTAAATTTACCAAAAAGTCAATTCAAAACAATTGAAGTCACATCAAATGGAAAAATTGCTGAACCAGCTAATGCTGATGGAGTGTATACAGTTGTGTAAGTGCAGTAAAAACTATTTTCCTGGTTTTTATAAGCAAATAATTTTTTTAATTTATTTCAGCTACTCTGGATCTGTTGACTATACTGGTAATAAAGTTCAAATTGATACTGAACTCAACTTCTCAAAAACTAAGGGCACTGGATCAGCAAAACTTCAATTACCAAACCAAAAGCCATTTGGTGGTGATTTTAAGTTTAATTGCAATCACAAGGACACAGCAGATTCTCAACTCACCTTGACATATGGTGATGATAAAAAAATTACTACAACATTGAAAGCTCAAATGCCTGATGAGAAGAGTCTTCAACTTGGTGCAACATTGGGTGGTGACTTACAAGTCCTCAAAGAACTTTCAATTAACATCGATGCTAAACGTCCACAAGATAATTATCTTCAAGCCACAATAAATGGAAAATATGATAATCAAGCATACGCTATGAACTTTGAACAACGTGCATCAACAGAAGATCCAAAACTTCTTATTACATTTACATGTCCAAAAGGTCAAACATCAAAAATTCTTGCCGAAGCTCAAATTGCTAGTTCATTAAAGGGTAAAGGCAGTTTTGTGATTGAGAAATTAAATAACTTTGATCTCACAGCTAATATTGATGGCGATTTAACATCAATGGAGAACTTCTATGTCAAGGGTGATGTTGACTGTCCAACATTAAAGATGAACAAGTATGAATTTGATGTTCATTCCAAAGATGCTGGTGGTCGTAAAGGAATTGAATACAAGGTAACCAGAGAGGGTAAACATGTGATTTCAGGATCAACAGATTACACCATGAAGACTGACAAAGGAAAAACAATTATTGAAGGCAAATCAACAGTTAAATTAACTGAAGGAAAATCTGATGATGTTACATTCAAATTGATTCGCAATGTCTATGAACGTTCACGTGATGGAGAGGTAGGATTCGGTGGAATGGTGACAGTTGCTATGGGACCTAGAAATTATGCTAGTGATATTAAAATAACTGACAAGGTATTCCATATGAAATATACAGGATGTGCTAAAAAGAATTCATGTACAAACTTTGAGGCTAAATCACAACTTGAACAATCTGATGCAAGTGCATTCAAACATAATTTGGAACTTACTGTTGATCTTCGTAAGGCTGGGTTCCCACATGAATTTGGATTAAAATCAGAAACAAGCCGGGAAAACTTCAAATTTTCACACACATTAGATGCTTATCTTCAAACAAAAGATAAACCAGAATATCAGTATTCAGTTTTTATTAATCCAAAAGAAGCAGGTGCCTCATTGTCCATGCCAAAACGTGAAATTTCACTCGATGCTTCATACAAGTATCCACAAACCTTCTATGGAGCTTATGAATCAACAATTACATTCTTTATTGATAAACGTAACAAGCCACAGATGAAAAGTGAAGTTGGCTTTAAGGGAGAAATTAAACATGTAGGAACAAGTCAATTGATTGGAAAGGGTGACCTTATATTCACACATCCAAAAGTTAAGCCACTTCGTGTTGGCGGTGAATTCGAAGTCAATACTGAGAACATGCATGGAATGTCTAAGATCGAATTTGACATTTTCACAAAACCATTGGACATGATTGTTATTCAATCAAAGATTGGAAATGATGATACAAGTGGACAAGGCTTCAACTTGACAACAACTTGTGAGATTTACTCAAAGGGTCTTGGATTCAATTACAAGAAGCAAGAATACATTGGATTGTCTCTGGCTAGAAAGGAATTTACATATGGATATGAATTAGTTCTTCCTGTTGATGACTTTAAATTTAGCTTGAATGCTTTTGCTTCAACCAAGAATATTGAACTTTCAGCTGTTGCATTTAATGAAGAATTTTTGAAAACAACTGGACAATATAATCCTGAAACTCATAACTTTAATATGGAGGGAAGCTTTAGGTAGGTTAAAATTACATTGCCATTATGACATTTTAAAACATTTTAATTAAATTATAGATATCTGAAATCAGAACCGTTCGTTTCAAAAGCATCACTTAATGGACTCTCAGAAGGAAAATTCACATTATCAAAGGGGCAACTCCTGAATGTTGATGGTGGTTATGGATTAGGCAAAGACATTCATATGTTAGTTAAGGGATCAGGCAATGAAGTTTTTAATGGTAAAGTTGCACTAGATACAGCTCAATTTTTAAAGACATCATATAAGGTTGATGAGGAACAAGTTAAAGCACTTACTACAGCAGTACAAGATCAAATCAAGAAGGATATAGAAACAGCTAAGAAGGATGTCACAGACAAGTTTGAAAACATCAAAAAATATGGAACAGATAAGGTTGAAGCTGCTGAGAAGGCATTGCAAGATTTTAAGCAATTCAATCAGGAATATTCAAAAGAAATTCAAGCACTTATTCAAGAACTCCAAGAAGATCAAAACGTCATGAAATTCATTGAAATTGTGTCTCCTGTTTTAACAGAATTGTCAAAATACTTTGAGGAGTTTGTAAATATTTTTGGTCATAACTATGAAATCTTGGCAGAATTTTTCCGAAAGATGTGCAATGAATTAACTACAGCATTTAATGAACGTATTTTACCAGAACTTAAAGCTTTCTATAACAGCTTACAAGCTCTTCTCGAGGAAATTATAAGTCAAGGTACAAAAATGGCTACTGCAGTTTTTGAAAGAGCATCAAAGGCTCTTAAATCATTTGAGGATGATTTCAACAAGATTTCGCAATCATTCAAGGATATTACAAGTGGAATTTCAGAATCAGTTACACAATATGTAAATGGTATCATCGAGGAAGTAAAAGCAATTTATCAAAATGTGCGAGAAACTTTAAAATCACTTCCTGGTCTTGATTCATTGAAAACAAAATATGATGAATATTTTGCATCATTCTCACCAATTCAAGCAATTGCAGCTGTTATTGAAGAAGTTTTGTCAACAGTTATGGACTTGGTACCAGAAAATGCAAAACCATTCTTTAACAAACTCAATACTTACATCAGAAATAAGATAGAAGGATCAGATGTCAATGACATGGAGATTATTAAAGAAATTTACAGCCTCTTTATTGATGCCATCCAGGCGCTCAAAAAAGAATACCTTGATACAGTCAATTCATCATCATCAGTTCTTCCATTCTCACTTGACGCCATTAAACGCCTTCCGCCATTGTTCTCAAATGTACGATTCTCAGTCATTTCACAGCTCGCTTCTGACCCAATTGTAAGCTTTAAAGATGTTCTTTATTTATATCGACCATACGCATTCAATCCAATTGAAGCTATTCCACCATTTACAATGCATGGAGAAATTGCTGATGGTTCACATATCTTTACATTCGATGGACGTCACATGACATTCCCTGGTGAATGCACATACATTTTGGCACGTGACTTTGTTGAAGGAAACTTTAGTATTGTTGCAAACATGAAGAATGGAAAGATGAAGTCAATTACTGTCCAAGATAGGACTGCATTTGTTGAAGTCAATGCTGACGGTAATGTCAAATATAGAGACAGAGATTCTGATTTCCCAATTCATGACAAGACAATCCACGCATGGCGTGATTACTTCACATTTAATCTATTAACAACGTTCGGTGCAAGTGTTGAATGCTCAATGGATCTTACAATTTGTCATATTCAAGTATCTGGATTCTATGCTGGTCGAACACGTGGTCTTATGGGTAATGGTAATGGTGAACCTTATGATGATTACACACTGCCTGATGGAAAAATTGTTGACAGTACAACAGACTTTGGTAATGCCTATAAGTCACAAAAATCATGTGGTGCAGTCACTAAGTCGATGGATGGACATCAAAAGTCTCATACAAATGAATTCTGTGCTGATTATTTCGGACGTGATTCATCAGTTCGTCTTTGTTCATTGTTTGTTGATCCGACAAATTATCAAGAAGCTTGTGAACATGCTACTCATGATGCTGAAAATCCACAAGCTGAAGCCTGCAAAATTGTAAGCGTTTACGCTTCAAGATGTCGTCAGGAAATGATTCCAGTTACAATTCCAAAAGGTTGCACTCAATGTAATGTTGACCCACAGAAAGTTGATATCGGAGATGAAGTTTCAATTAAAGTACCACAAAAACAAGCAGATATTGTTGTTATTTTCGATACTGCAGTTGAAAAAGACCTTACTGTTGCCACAGAAATTGTAAATGAAGTAAGACGAGAATTGAAGATTCAAGGAATCGCAGATGTTAATGTTGCTGCAATTGGATACAATGCAAACGATCGCTATGCATCATTATACACAACAAAGGGTAAACTTGACTTTAAGGGCAAATTTGAGACACTTAAAGGAACTGGATTGCCAGAAGATGAAATTGTTAAGACAGGAAACTTTGAAGTAGACAATGTAGTCACAGAAGTGGAAAAGATTAATAAACAAACTAAACGAGACTACAATTTGTCTCCAGATGCTAGAGCATTTAGAAAGGCACTTGCATATCCATTCAGACCAACAGCTACAAAGACTATTTTGGCTATCAGAAGTGACGGAATTCCATATTCAATCAATCCAGTAAGTTTAAATAATTTTTTTTTCTGTTAAAATTCTATAAAAATAACTGATTTCCAGGCTAAATTAACAACTGGACAGTTGAGTATTGAATTGACATCAAAGGCTGGTATTGCAGTTCATGCAATCATGCCAGTAAAGATTACTGAACCAGCAGATAAGGCAAAGAATATTGTTGGTAAGAAAAGTGAAGTTTAATTACATAGCAACCTAAATTATTAATAATATAATTACTTCTTGTAGGTTTCAACAGCAATGTCGCACTTTTGATTAATGAAAAGAAACGTCCAAATATGGGATCAGTTGAAGTAAATAACAAACTTAAATATGAACAAGATATGGGTGTCGATCTCACAAGACAACGTGGCTATGTATTCAATCTTAATAACTATGCAACAGACAAAAAGAAGTTTGTTGGAGTTGCTGGTTTTGTTCTCGCCGATTCAATTGCACGCACAGAAGTTGTCAGCGAGTGCAAGTGCTACCTAAGAAATGGAATCTATCCAAATGTGGGATGTATATCAAAATCAACTCAACTTTTAGCACCTGTAAGTTAACATCTTAAGTATAATTTATAGGAAAAATAATGTTTAATATCAATTTTAGAAAAAGACAGCAGCAAGAGGTTAAACAACAGATATCGCAGAAAAAATCTTATCATCACAATTTTAAAAACAAAAGAAAATTTACGTTTATCATTAATTGGTAGTTTTATACGATTTAAAAATCTTTGAATAATAATTTACATTATTTCATTTTTTGACCTAAGAATTTAAGTAATGACAAAATTAAAGCGACTTTTAAGAAATCATATTTTTTAATTTGTGAACATTTCAGGAAATTGAATTTTTGGCAATTTTATGACTGAATAAAAATTTTAATATTAAAAATACAAAAGCTGTATTTTCATTTTTGATTTTGCTTTAAACAAATTTTTAATTATTTATGTTTTTATATTGATTTATGTGTGAGTTTGCAATTGAATTTGGAGACTTGAAATTATGAATACAAATCAAGATAAAAAATATTAAGAGCCTCAAAAGATCACATTAGGAAAGTCCAAGATGGCTGAATTTTGGCATGAGTAACAACACTCATGTGCTATATCCAGCAAATCTTAATCAAAGTCGCTATTAATCTGCAGAATTCATTAAAAAATATGGGAAATAGAGACGCAATGATTAAGAATTGAGGTTTATTCAGGGAGTCGTACGACTGCCCCAACAAATCACTAAGTGCCCTCAATTTACATGCCCCACTGTATCAATTGCTCCAATATATTTTGCACCAAATTTTATGTATTTAATTTTTGTAAATGAAAAATATCCGTTCCTGATAAAAGTTACAAATTTCAACTCCAAATGTTCATTATTTTTTGTAGAAATCTGAAGTGCAATATTTTAGATTTTCATCCTAATTTTTCATTTCACTTCTAGAATTATTTTAAAGTAAATTTAAAATTAAAAATTAAATGAAGAACTTTTAATGAATGATGAAAAATACATAAAAAACACGCTTTTATCAAAAAGACTAAAAACCAAAAAGTTAAATGTTAAGTAAGATCACACTTTTAGAAAAAAAATCAGGAAGAATTTGAGACAACTAGAAATTTAACCCAAAAATTTTCTCAAAATATAGTAATTTAGTACAAAAACACAATGACTCCAAAAGCGTGGGGCGTAATTGCACGATGAATTCCTTAGTTTAGCTAAGTTCTTAAGTAAGAGAAGCGTCAAATCTCAATGCCCCACGCTTTTAGAGTCATTGTGTTCTTGGACTTAATCACAATATTTTAAAAACAAATTTTATGTAACACTTCTTGTTAATACAAGAAACTTTTTAAAATCCTGACTTGCTAAAAGCATGTTTTTATTTTTTTTTTTCAACTTTTTGGTTTTTAGTCTAGCGTGTTTTTAAAAAGTTTTTTTAACGTTTTTTTTGTTGAGCTTATTAACATAATTATTCTGAGGTCTAGAAGACAGTTCTATGCTTTGTAAACCTTTTAAGGATTTTAGAAAAATAATTGCCTTTTAATGATTAGAGAAATATAATGGTTTGAACATAATCATAATTATTTGGCAGTAATTTGTTGATCTAAAACTGATCGCCAAGTCAAGATTCAATGCTTTTTGGTCACTCATTCAAAAATAAATTTTATAGCAAAATGAATAACGGATTTTTTAAATTCAAACATGTTATAAAAAGTTTTTCATTCATACAAAAAAATCATTCCGATTTGTTTTTTACTAGTGAAAACACGGATTTATTAATATTATTAAAATTAATCAAGAATGGGAAAGACATCAAAAGACAAACGAGACATATTCTATAGGCAAGCAAAGGAACAAGGCTGGCGAGCACGTTCAGCATTTAAACTAATCCAAATAGACGAAGTTTTTGATATTTTGAATGGTGTAAGTTATTAAAAATTCTAAGAATCAGAATAATTGATTAATTAATTCCTTTTTAATATTTAAAAGGTAACACGTGCAGTAGATTTATGTGCAGCACCTGGAAGTTGGTCTCAAGTGCTGTCAAAAAAGTTATGGGAACCAAGTGAAAACAAGGATGAAGTTAAAATTATCGCTGTCGGTAAGGACTTAATTAAGCATTGAGTCAACCTTGTATCAATTAATTTATATTTATTTTAACAGACCTTCAGCCAATGTCTCCTTTAAATGGAGTAATTCAACTACAAGGTGATATTACAAAACTGGAAACAGCCGAAGCAATAATCAGTCATTTTGGAGATAAGAAGGCTCACTTGGTTTGCTCGGACGGTATGTCTAACATTCTAGTGCTGCTTATTTTTAAAATTATCAAATTGCAATTTTAAAATGTATAGGTGCACCTGATGTAACAGGACTACATGACATTGATGAATACATTCAATCACAGCTTATTCTTGCTGCTCTTAATATAGCAACTCATGTTTTAATGAAAAGTGGCACTTTTGTTGCAAAAATTTTCCGTGGAAAGGATATTTCACTTCTTTTTTCTCAATTATCAATCTTTTTTGAGAAAGTATCGATTGCCAAACCAACAAGTTCACGAAATTCCAGCATTGAAGCATTTGTGGTATGCCAAAATTATCAACCACCTGATAACTATGTCCCGCAAAAAATAAATCCAATGATTGACGATTTAGAAGTAATAAGAGAAATAACTGACAGTGAAGTAAATCGGAATATTATTCCCTTTGTTGTATGTGGGGATTTACGAAGCTATGATAGTGACATGTCATATCCAATTGACGAGAATTATGAGCATAAAGAAATTGTACAAAAACCGACAGCACCGCCATACAAGGAAGTATTAGAAAGATTATCTCAAATATCTTTAAAACACGAAGGATTTAGCATTAATAAGCAATAAAGTTTTGGATGTTGTACAAACTATGATTGTCCTAAATTAATAAATTTTTGCATAATATAAATCAAAATTTTAAAAGCTGGATTTATGTCACATCCTTTTTATCACAAAAAAACTTTCAAATTGTAATAAGATTAAAAAAATTGGAAAGTGCTTCTTTTTTCAGGTAGTTTAGTCTACATATCACATTGAAAATAAACTTTCATTAATATTAATCATCATGAATAATAAGAAGAAACTAATTTCGTACTCATGATCGTTTTTAGGGCATAGAACTGATCTACTTCTTATTCATGATCAGTTATGCTAAAGATAAATGCATTAACATCCTAAAATCAGCATATATCACCAATTTAGAAAGATGAAGGTTTGTTCTATTTAATAAAGGTAAAGTTAAAAGACTAGATCTTGATTTAGGTGGTTTGCGGCAATCACGAACTTTTGAAGTGTGATTTTCCTCAAATTTTCATATTAAATCTCCGTTTGGTGGAAATATTTCAAATAGTATGATATTTTATCTTGCCGTGTCAAGCATTTTGATGTGGACTTTTTAAATGATGATATAAATAAGCAGCTTTATCAGGATATTATTGGTAGGGTGACCATCTGCGTAGTTTTACAACGGACAGTCCTGTATTTCAAAACACTGTCCTGTATCAATTTGAAAACTTTGTTCCAGGTCCTGTATTTTTTTCACGAAAATTTCCGTTAATTTTCGAATTTTACTCTATGTCCTGTATTTTTCGAAAAACTTTACCAAAAGTCCTGTATTTTCATGAAAATTAGATGGTAACCCTAATTATTGGCTTTATTAAGAACATTGAAATTCTAGCATATGGGACTTGGGATGGTACAACAGATCATCGATCGCAGTGCCGCTTTTGCTATCAGCAAAACCCCACATTACATTCTATTCTACATAATCAGTGTGATGTTTTTTCTGATTGTGATGCGGAAAAATTTAAGAATTGAAAATCATGTTTTCATTTGGTTGAGTAGTTTTCGTGCAAATTCAGTTTAAATAAAGAATCTCAAGAAAAAGAAAATTCACCTACACACATTTAAGGATCTGCTACTCAGCACAAGATGGACCAAAAAACTCAAAACTTGGAGAATCATCTTGTATTGATGTCAGCTTTCAAATGAGACATGTCCGAAGACTTATGATGAAATTTTTCCAAAAAGTGCTTATTTTTCGACAAGTTTTAAAACCAGACCAGTGTGAAATATTACGGTTTTGTATTGATCTTTACCAGTCCATAACACAAAATATTTAATAAAAAGTAGGATCTAAGTTACAATAAAAACTAGTAAGAGGTGGTCACTCGTGACCGACCGAAACGCATTTTCCCCGTCCATAATTCTAGGAGAAAATAAAATGCAAAAACTTAAAACATTTGAAACGTAACGATCAAAAAACATTTTTAAAAAAAACGGTTGAAACTTATTTGAAAAATAACGGTCAACAAATCTTTCCATATTCAGGAACAGCCACTGAACCTACATGCCAAAGGACACAAGATGCAAAAGTTATGACAAAAATGTTAAATTTGTATGAAAAATGTATGAAAAAAATATTAATTACATTCTTTGTAATTTTGTCGTTTATTATATTGTATTTTGAATATTTTATCAATAAAAAATCTTAGGCTATTAAATGAGAGAAAAAAAATGCTAATCAATTGCTGGTAGCCACAACAAAAAATTTCCTAAATCTTCTAAACCTAATAATTGACCTGCGATTATTATTTTTTTTAAGATATTATAAATAAATTCAATGAAATATAGAAGGCACATAAACTAAGTTTCAATTTGCATGATCTCTTTAATAATTAAATAAATTCTTACTTAATTTTTTTTTCTTCTCTTTCAACTTCATGGTTTGACGTTTATTGATCTAAAGCAGTTGTATTTATTGAAAATTTTCTTTGAGTACTTTGACTTGTATTTAGTCAGTGTCGTGATTTCATGCCTAGTGCATGGAAAAGAAAAAAAATCCTAATATTTTAAGTTACAAAATTTTTTCGGAAAACTTACGTTTTGAACTTAGATTTTTAATATAAATTTGTGTAAGAACTCTTTTTTGAGAGTTTTAAATCCAGTGTTGTAGTTAAAAAATTAAAATCATTAATAAAGTTTTTATAATAAAAAAAAATATTATTTTTGAAAAAAAAAGACATTGAAAAATTTAATTTTGAATTTTAACTTAAGTCAAAATGAGAACTATTTTTGAAAAAGTAGTTGATTTCTGGATTAATGAAGCAGACTTAAGAAGCTTACAAATGTTCCTCATCAAGTCACCTTTTCCAATTATTTTTATTCTATTGATATATTTTATAGTCATTAAGGTAAGCATTTTATATTAATGTCTATGTTATCTTCTTGTCAAATTATGTAGCTAAAACTATAATTTTTTAAAACTATTTCGACATTAAATTTTGCTATTCAAAAAAAAACATTTAATATTGAAAAGTTAAAATTATCAATTAATCAGAAATCTTTACTTTCAACCAAAACTTAATTTCAAAATATCCATAATGCTCAACATTAATTTCCAATGAACATTGAACCAACTCTAATTCAATCATAATTAATTCGTCAACATGTGCGTAGCAAAATTACAAGTAGTGTAAAAATGTTCATTTAAAAATCTTAAATAGAAAAAAATTTGCATTTTATGATCATTTTTGATTAATAAAGACAGCTGTGTTATAAGAACTAACGTGAACATGCAAACATTGAAAACTCAGTTAGTAAAATTAAGCCGATTATTTATTTTTTTTTTAACAAATTTAAACAATTTTCAGTTTATAATTCCATCAATAACCAAAAATCAGAAGCATCCGCACCTCAGACATCTTTTATCATTTTATTATGTCATCCATAGCTCTCTTAGTATCGTGATAATTTTAATTTGGATTTTCGTTGCATTTAAAATGAATTTTAATTTAAGATGTGAGCCAATTAGCCATGGCAACGGATTTTACTCTCGACTGGTTAGTATAATCTCGAAATGTTGGGACATTAAGAATCAGTACAGAAATTTTTGTGCCAATAATAAAATCCTATCATTGACATATTATGGAAAATTTTAATTTAATTGACTTTTTTTGATCACTTTTCAGATAATTTTGATGTCAGAAATATTTTTGTGGTTTAAGTTTTCGGAAATGGTGGAGACATTCTTGCTAGCCATTGTAAATGGACGAGCACCAATTTTCAACATTCTACATCATACTTTATATCCATGGTAAGAAATTTGGCATGATGTTGATTTGGGTAATTCTAATGCTTATGTTTAGTGACTGTTCGCAACTGGTTTATGGAAGTGACAATGAAAACTAGTGAATAAATTTTTAAAAAAAAAATCTAATTCTATTTATAATATTTGCATTTAGTTCACGCTTAGTTTTTCGTATGTGCCCAAAATTTCGTATTTGAAGATTTTCAGAACAAAATAACAGCTTAGCATAATAAATATTTGTTTAATAGTTGAACAATTTCCGAGTTGATGAAATAACATTCGCGTATGAAATTTCGCACAAAAATTGTGTTGTAATGTTTTATAATATCTCATCTAAAAGATAAACAAAAAAAAAATAAACATAAAAATGCTAAATAAATATTATTGAGTGTACTTTAAATTGTGTAATTTCAAGATTAATCGATTGTTCATTGCACTTTTGTCACTTTGTTTGCTGATTGGATGAGCTGTAACAAGTGAGATGTAATGGCACTTTAAGATGATTTTTAATATTGAATAATATTAAAATGTTTATTATTAAAAGTTGATTAAAAGTTCTTTACTTAATTTTTAAAACAAGGATATTAAGAACCAAAAAAGTCTATTAACTTAATTCAGTTATTAAAAAATATCATGATTTTCGAAAATTACAGAATCGAGTGATGAATCTCAAACATCAGGTTCATTCTCATATAGAAGACTTTTAAAATATTTATGCAAAAAGATGAAGAAATATTCAAATAAGAGGAAACAAATATTATCTTAGTCAATGAACGGAAACACTTAGCGATACAGTAACTTCCTTTAAATATTTGTTTTTAAAAAACCAATTAGAATATCGGGAATTATTTAACTTTTAAATTCAATTGTTCATTGTGTTCGTACAAACTGCAAATAGATCATGGCAATCCAAATAAATAAAAGTTGGTCATAACAAAAATAGCAGAGCTCAAAGTGGACTCGAGTTGACTCGGGTTTTTCCAGTCGACACAACTCGAATAAATAACATACAAAAAAAAATTGCGAGTTGACTTCGAGAAAATGAAGTCAATTCGAGAAAAGTTGAGTCGACTCGGTTTCGACTTGAACTCTATCGACTTCGAGCTCTGGAGAATAGATTTGATCGGTTTATGACAAAAATTATGAACCTTGCATTAGAGTCTTAATCATTGAAAAAATATTAAAAAATGCATAAGGTAACAAATGATAATCTAAAAGAATTAATATTATTAAAATATTTTTTCAAAAGCTCAATGCCAAACAATTTCACGATCACAATTAAATTCTCAACATGGCTAATCTTCAATTTTAACTGCGTATTAATATTAAATATTCTGCAATAGTTCAATAGCTTAATTACTGACATAATTTTAAGCATGCAGTGAAAATTAAAGCACACAAGAAAAACCTTTTATGATCATCAAGGTTACCACTGGGCGATAATAATTGAATTTCTCAACACTCTGCATGAAAAATGTGGAAAATATTTGGAATTTTTTGAATAATTATTATTATTGATTAATTAATAAACAATTTGAGATTAATTGTTGTTAATATTTAAATAACTTTAAAAATGTTTCTAAGTTATAAATTAAGATTTATAAAATAACTTGATTGATTGGACAGTAAGTTTCAGTCAAATAACACGTCAGACACAAAACGTGTTTTTTTTTGCACAGACATTCACGTGCAACGATTAAAAACTCAGTCTGCATTGAACATTTTGCTAATAAGCATGCTACATTTCTTAAATTTAGTAAGCATGCCAACAATCTTTAATGAATTTTTTTATTCAATTTTAAACATCAAATCACGAATGTAATTAGAATATGATGAACCGAAATTAAATTCTCGATTTCACTAACTTATTTTTAATATATTTCTTTTGAATTATTTTGAACTCCCTCCCCCCTCTTATGGTCCAGAGGAAACCTACTTGATGGGTAAAAAAAGGAAAATTCTAATTTTTACCATTTTTATCCGATTTTTCAAATTTTTCTCATTTTTTACTATTTTTTCCTTTATTTTTACCATTTTTACCATTTTTACAATTTTTTTAACCATTTTTCCCAAATTATGATAGGAAATTTTCCACAAAAAAATGGGAAAAATGGTAAATTTTTTTCTCATCAAAATTTTTAACATTCAATTATTTTTCCCCCTGTTAAGATCTTAAGATCTTGATAACTTGAAACTTATTAGTCACAAACGTAGTAATTAATCATAATTTATTGATTTTAACTATTTAACAGCATTTTATGCAGATATGTTTTTTTTTCAATAGCTATTTAATTGCATGCTGTTCATAATTTTTTTAATCATTCACATGCTTAATTTTGTTTCTTTTTTCTTTTGAATTTTTCTGCAGCATGCTTGCCATTGGCATTCGTTTTTATCCAGGTAAGTTCATTGCCAAGATTTTTTTCTGACAGTAAATGAGGCTCTCAAAAAAAAAGCAAATGCTATATAATGAAAATCATTATTTATTGTAGCGTCTTAAACATTTTATTTTTGAAACTTTCGTTTCTCCTGAACATAATTATTGAATAGCCTATCAAAATTAATTTTACAATTTTCTTTCATTTAAGGAGGAAGTCCAGCATTTTTTGCATTAATAAATTGTATTGAGCATGTTTTACTCTATACAGTGTTAGCAATGAGACAAATATCTATTAAATTCAAAAAATCATGCACGTGGTTTAAAAAATTTCACATCATTTTATCAGTAAGAATATTTTTGACTATTCTTAAGTACCATTATTTATTAAAAAGCGTTTAGTGATATACTTCTTATTCTTATTGTTTTCAGGTCAGTGCTATGCTTGTGAGCATTATATTCTACATACAAATGGTAAATATCAAACTTATCATACTCATTTTTGTTTTTAATTTATATATTTTTATTTCAGGAAACCAGAGAAGATTGTGACTTTACAGTATTTCGTTACTACGTCCTGACATGTCTTTTTATATTCAGTTTTGTTGGAGTTTACTTCCGTTGGTCTTACATTTTGCAATCAGATGCTTTTGGCGAAACTTGGTTGATTAGGGCAGTAACAAAAGCGAGGACTGAAGGAAAAGCTGCAATGTTGATTTCAAATAAAGCGACAGCTAGAATATTTTAGTTTTTAATGTCTTTAGGCAGTGTTACTCAATCCATACTAAAATATAATAAAATCCATAATAAAACTACTTTGTAATCAAATAGAATTTAATATTATTTATATTAAAATCGGACTAGAAATAATTTTTTTTAAAATGGAAACCTCAATAAAGCACAAATCTAAATTATAGTCTCATAAAAAAATATTAACTATTAGATAACGCCTGGAATGAGGCAAATTAATGAATTGGGAGAAAAGATTTACAAATTGCCATTTAGGCCTGAAGCTAATTAGCTCGTAAAATAAATTTACTTTAATAATCTTTGTTAAAATGTTCATTAAATAAACGATTAGCTTTAAAATAAAAAAATACAAAAGTCCTCGTGTTATTTATCGAGGGACTTCAGCGCATTTTTGACGCAGCGATCAGCATTGTTTATCCAATCAAAATGCGAATCAATTAGCAAACAACTTTAAATTTTTGCCTTTATCAAAGCATAGTCGTTGTATTTCAATAAATATTCAGCATTACGTACAGCAAAAAGTTTTTTTGTCCTTTGAACGGTTTTTGAAATTATTTCGCCATTTATATATATATATATATATATATATATATTTAACCATATAAATTAATTTTCACAACAAAAACTCTTGAATTCAACAGGATTTGTCACTAAACCATTTTCTTGAATTCAAATGAAATTTTCATTTAACGGGTTTTTGGGATTCAAATATTTAACGGTAGAAATAAATTTAAATCTCTGAACATAAACCTTAAAAAATTTTTAAAGCAGTAGAAAAAAATTCAAATTTTTAAACGTACTCATCACGTGGTTTTGTTTATGAAATAAAAAAATCATTAATTATAGTATTTATCCATTGTTTTACGGTTCGAAAATAATCTTAAAGCCAATAAAACAATGGACCTGACCTAATAAAACAAACTAGAACTATCTACGATGTCTGGTTAATGAGATTTCAGAACCAGCCGAGCAGCCGATCAAAGTGAATTATTAAGTTTCTGAATTTTTCAATTATATTTTAAATATCAATGTCAATTTATAAATTCAACTAAATCAAAGTTCTTCATTTTGTAAGGTTGTTGCAAATAGTTGTAAAATTTAAATGAAAAATCAATTTTCGTTTTATGAACTCCAGTTTTAAGTAATTTGTCAAATCAAAAACATTAAATTTATATATTTTTTGAATTCATGTTTTAACAAAATAACACGCGATGTATGATGTTTTCAACTGACAGAAACAATCACGTTCACAAACATTTTCTTTATTAAATATAAATGATTTATATTAAAACAACTTTTCAACAGTTTTTTTAATTGTTTTATACTCAGCTCAATTAACTTTATTATTTTGAGATGAGCAGTCACTTAAAGTGCTTTTTAAAGATAATTTAAGTTTATTACATGATGTTTGCTATTCTACTTGCAAAAAATAAATTTAAAGTGATTTTTTTATTAAAAATACATATTTTATTACCGAAAAGTTATTATTATAAATGATGTGGAATATTAATTCAAAGATAGACACGCTGATTCAATCATATCATGAAATTTTCTATACAAATGCTGATCCAAGAATCCGTGACAAATTTTTAATGGGAAATCCAGCTTTAATTACCACAATTTACATAGTCTACATATTTTTTATAAAAGTTGTTTTAAAAAAATTCATGAAAAATCGACCGCCATTCAGATTGAAAATTTTTGAGAATTTTCTCGTTTTTTTACTTTTTGGATCGTCTTTGTATTTTTTCATTATTAGTTCCAACGTTTGGTTCTTTCATTATAATTGGAAATGTGAGGCAATTGATAGAAGTAAATCATCGTTGGCGATGTGGGTAAGTGGATTTCAGCTACAATTATTATTTAATTATAGTTTAAATAATTCCATAATGATATTAAAATATTATATTATTTTTTATACATACAAATGTTTTTGCAGGCAGTAAACAACAGCTACCTTTATCTTCTGTCTAAATTCTTCTACATTTTCGAAAGTGTCGTTTTATCGCTGAGAAAAAATCACTCATATTTAGAAACTTATTTACTGATTCATCATTTTTTTTATCCCATTGGCATTTGGAGTACGATCAATTATTTTCCAGGAGGACATGCTTTATTTCTTGGATTTGTCAATTCATTTGCACACACTGTCATGTTTGGATATCATCTTATTGCAAATAATTTTTGTATGAAATTGAAACTGTACAGATTTAAGGGCGCTGTTAATGGGCTAATGTTGGTGAGTAGTATTTTAATGATCATCCAATTTTTAAGGCACAAATTTTTTTCTTATTCTAGATCATCCAATTGATATTATTTTTTCCACATACTATACAACTATTCTTCAAAAATGACTGCAACTTTCCCATTGAATATCCAATATTAGTTTTTGTTGTTATATTTACTGCACTTCCATTTATTATCATATTTGTAATACCAAGAGCATTTAAATATCATAAAAGCAAGTTGATAACCAGGCAAAATTTACAAATACAAAAAACTAATTTAACGCTGAGTTATGATTTAGAAAAAATTGAGCAAACTTAATTAATAAAATGTTATAATTGAAAAAGTGTTCAGAATTTATTTTAAGAAGATTTTCAAAATCATTTTTTTATTGAGTAAGCAATCAAAATATCGTGCTGACAAGTACTATAGAATGATAGAAAAAGGAGTAAAAAGCAGCAAAAAACAGCAAGTTGATGAAATTTTAACTTTGGTTTTTAAAACAGGTCCGTTCACTAATGACGACTGCTTAAGAATAGTTTTTTTTTACAAAAAGAGAAGTATGAGGTAGCAAAGAGAAATGAAAGTATTATAGACATAGCATGACTAAAGTCAAGGTTTTTGCTGAAAATTCTATTTTGATGATAACAGGCAGGAAAATGTGTAAGTGCTGTGAAAAATCTATGATTATAAAAATCTAAGCTTTCGGTAGTAATTAGTGGCAATGCCAACTACTGCCTACAAACATAGTTTTTAGACTTTTAACGGACTTCTCGTAAAGTTAGCTTCCTTTGTATAATAATAAAACTAAATCAATAATACTTGTAAAAACTATGTTAAATTTTGTTATGCTATATCTTTAAAAATAAGGACACACCTTGATGAGAACAGTATATTTGACAATGAGTATAATGTAATAAGGAACAACGCTTGATGAATACTATAAGATAAAGTGAAATATGATATCCAGTTTGGAAAAAAGCTTTTGTTCCTATTTTTTTCAACTATGACAGCCAAAAAGTCACTAAATTTGTTTCTTAAATAAATAGCTTTCATTCCTCTAATTGCTTAACTTGTGTCATCAAATGGCGAAAAAATTATTTTCCCTTATGGCTTGGCTGTAACCCTGTTCACCAAATTTTCAGACCTAAAAAAGACGTTTTTTGGGATTTGAATGCATAGACATTATGTCAAGGATTAATCCTGAGTTCCCACGCCTTGAGTAAAATAAAATAAAATCTGAATTTTTAACAACATATAATTTATTACCCATATCAATTTAATTGAGTCAACAAAATGAGACAAGTTCATCTTCTTTCAATACTGACTTTATAACCCTTAACAAAGTTTAATGTCATCGTCATTTCAGTTTCAAGTTCTTCAAATTTTGATGAGCAATTGACTTTGTAAGATCGCAGAAAATTTATGAAAAATATTTTCATTGAAATCATTGCATAGCGGAAACCTAAAATTTAAAAAATAGTTTAAAAATTGCGACGATAGACTCTAAATTGAAAGACAATCAAAGTCATAATTCAACAATTACCTATACACATCCGACGACCACCTAATTCAGTTTAAAACATTAAAAATTAATTTTTATTGTCATCTAAAAAGTCAAACTGAAAACTTACCTGAAAATGGTGCATATGCTTGAGGATATGCCAAAGTTTCAAGGAACCGTTCAGGTTTGAACAAATTTGCATCTTTTCCCCAATATTTCTCATCTTTATGCATGGCATCAATTGCCAACAAAAAAGCTGTTCCTTTAGGGATCACATATCCATCGATTTCCACTTCCTCAGATGCTTTTCTGGCTAAAATTGGAGCAACTGTAAAAAGTCTCATCGTCTCTTTAATAACAGCTTCCATGAATTGAAATTTGTTAAGAAAATCTATTGTTAATGTTGTGTCATCTCCATTAATAAAAATTTCTTCGATTTCTTGCATTAATTTATGTTGAGCATTTTGGTGAATACCAAGCATCATTAATGCACTTGAAATGATTTTTGTTGTTGTTTCGAAAGCCTTTATTTTTGAATATATTTTTTAAAATTATTGTTTATTAATGAATTGAAAAATTCAGAGAGAATGATTTTGTGGCAGTTCAAACAAATGAAAAATATCCACAAAAATTAACTAGCAATTTACTTCAAAATTGAAAAATATTACGCCATACTCACACCAAGTATCATAGTAATAAATTCATCACGAATATCCTCCTCGTCAAATCCATTTTTAGGATCCAAAAGAGAAAAAATTAATTTATTTTCATCTTTGCATGGACTTTTGCGATTATTGTTGATAACTTCATTCAAGTAATTATCAAAAACTTTAAAAATTTCTTCAATTCTTTTACCAATGTTAATGTATCTTAAATTCTTTCGAGTAAATCCAACGACAATATAAGGTAGAATATCTACCATTATTGGAGAGAATCTAGAGTTAAAGAAGATAAAATAAAACATTTTTAATTCACAGATTTAATAAAGTTCAAAGGTTGAAAGGTTTCTTAGTGAAATGAAGCAAAAGTTTCTTGATAGCTCAGTTGATAAGGTACAGATCACAAAACTTGGTGTTGAATTGGGACTCCCGGGGTTTGATTGAAAGTGATTTTTCAGAAATTTAGATACTTCGGTTTTTTCAGATACAGCAGTTTAAGACGTACAACTAAGATTTAGGCGATGTGTGATACAGGAATGAGTCAAGAATTATGGAGATAGAATGAGAAAGATACGTGAGCCGTAAATTCACCCTGAAGGGCTTTTACTGGAACGCACCTGGAAACATTGTGACCACTGAAAATTGGAACGAGAGCCAATATGAACAGTAGTTCTAAGATTTAAAAAGTTTTTAACTGACCGCTAGACACAACACTGCTTAGAGAAGATTATGCACTACATACTGAGCTAGCGAACACAATATGGATTTAAGAATTATTAATGGTAAGAATATAATTGTAGCGCTTAAAGATTTAGTAACACTGTTGCACAATTTAAGATGAATAAATTGAACTGAATTGAATATTCCTGCGTCAGACTTGAAGAATGTTTACTTGACGAAATATTGTCACTTAAGCTAATGTTTTAAATATAAACTTCAGCCCTTTTAAGGAGCTACTCATTGTAACATTTAAAAATCCTCTAAAAACATCGCCTATAAAATCATTTTCCTTCTTGCCATATCAATTATAACATACAACATAAACATTAAATTAAACTTTAGCTTCATTAAAATATAAATTATTCACTTACTTTTCAAAGGCATAAAATAAATCACTTTTAAAATGGTCCTTTTCACTATAATTCAAATTACTAGATCCAAGTGTATCAAATGAGTAAGATCCAGCATAATCTGTAAATTCAAATTCACCACAATTAACTTTGCTTTCAAGTAATTTCACAATTCTTTTTGAGTTTTCATCAAATATTTTTGGAAGTGTTTGTAAAACTTTCGTTGTAAAAGATTTTGTAAATATTTTTCTGTGAACTTTCTGGTCTTCTCCATTGATTGCAATCAAGCCTCTCTTGACTAAAAATGCATCATAAAATAGTTCCGGCTTATCAATTGTGTGTTGAGAATTAAAAACTTTATTAATGAAATCTGCATCTTTAGTCATAATCACGAGATTTTTTAATAGCCAAATTTTAGTTATCTTAGCATCATCTTTGATATAAGTTAGCACTTTTGTGATGTAATCTTTTCGATGAACAGTCAAAATCATAAAAAATGATTCCCAAATTGAAAATCCTTCATGTCCTGGAAGTTTTTCTGCCAATGCATAAAGTCTTTGACGCTTCCACCGAAACACTACATAATGTGTCACACAAGTTACTAAGAGGAACAACACAATAGTCTCGAGCACGAACATTTCTAAATCGAGAAATTTTAACTTCATCGACACTAACTGTTCAAGCTCAAAATTTAGACTAAACATGCATCAATCGAATTTCATGTGCTTTTATGCATTCTCATACGCTTCACAAGGATTTCCTGTGGATCATCAAATGTAATATTTGTAATGCGATATTCAGAGATAGAGAGGTTAATGAGAGTAAAGGCACTTAAATCTGTATCATTTGTGAGTACAAAGCTGGAACTTGAATAAAACGATGTTTAGGAACTTTTTGCAAACTTTATCTTTATTGCTGTCGATTTAAATGTTTTGGCAAGCTCATATTACTTTGGCTTCCATATTATGTAACATTGTGAACTCGAGACATATTGTTCATTATTTAAAAAAATTGATTCAAATTAGTCTAAAAATTGGATGAAACCCATCTCATTTTATTAACCAGTGGCAGTGGCAAATTAAAGTTAAATTATTTAAAAAAAGATAAATATAAGCTTAAAAGGCTGGGCCCTTTTCATAATTTACCTTTACCTTTGCAATGTCAGAAAACAAAGTGATTAAAAATAGCACAATCATTTATTAACAAAGCTCAAAGAATTATTCATAGAAAGCTATAAACACGTGTAGTAGTCAATTATTTCTACTACTCGATAAACGATCATTTAATTATTATGAAAACACAAGCGAAATATGCAATTTGGAAAGATATTGCAGTTTTTTCAGGTTCTAATTAGAACACGCACATCATATTGACTAATTGTATGCAAATCAATCACTTTCATTTTCCTGGTTGTTTTCGTTTTTCTATTTTGTAATCTATTGAGTAACTGTTCATTATTATTGCTTCATCTATGGGCTCGTTTTCATCTAGTTATGAAAAGATTTTTTTGTATTTAAATTAATCTTATTTAAGTGTTAAAAAATGTTTACGATTTTGGCTGCTTCTATTAAGGATAGATAAATACAAACACACACATATTAAAACTCAAGACAACTACTGGCTTAATGACAGCAAAAATTCAGCAGTGGCGTTGCGATAAGAGTATTGGCTAACCAGCGGTAATGACCCTAATTTGATCCTAAGGAATGACTGGTTGGATTTTGGGTGCTTTTCTGCTGTTCTAGTCGTGGTTTTCTACATATTCTCTTTTGGATTTTGTTTTGATGTAGAAATTATTATTGTGTCCAGAACAGTGTTGCATTTTGGCAAGTTGTCAGCATGCGCCAAAATCTGAAAGAGATACTTTGATATAAAAGATTTTACATCCTCAAACTATTTAACGACAGAGGAAATAAGACAGATTTTTCTGTTATTATTTTCCAGTGAGAAAATTTTTATAGTCATTCATGAATTCTGTCGTGTGACTGAAGTACGACGGCATGAAGTGTCCAATCACTTTGAAACTTTGCCAGAATTAAGTCTACATTACGTTCAATTGCGTCCACCAAAAATAATTGTGTCCTACTTCCTGTGCCTTGATATAGCAGGTTTCATTTTTGGGAATTATGCCGTCGTACTTCAGGTTTTAAAACGGCATCATTTCCAAATATCAACTTTATTAGACATATTATACATCAAAGTTGATCTTTTATTTACGTCCAATTGCGTCCTGCAAAATTTTTGGGATCGGATATAACCAGCAAGTGTCATAGGCTGTCAAAGTTTTGGATAGTACTACTTGTGGACCAATATTTTTTTTGCCCAAATCCTATCATGTTATATTTCAAAACACGTCTCCTTTTCCTCAGCAGCTTAAATCTGATGAAATTATTTAAGTCCAATTCATTTTTGAACTATGGCAGTTCCAGTTCCAGTTCGTATCTCGTACCTGAACATCACTAAATGTTCAAAATTTGACTAGTGGCATGTTGTATATCTAAAAATATCTACTTTTTGTCAGTGTTTTTAATCGGACGGAATTATTTTAGTTCAACCTGTAGTTTTGGACCTTTGGCAGTTCCTGTGTATTCTAACCTGTACCTGCACACATTGAAGGTTTTAATTTTACCTGTCTAATATAGATTTTAACAGAGATTGTTATTATTTTATAATCTCAATTACAATAGTTTAAATCAAATTGATTGATTAAATGGAAATGATGCCGTTTTAAGACCTGAATTACGACGGCATAATTCCCAAAAATAGAACCTGCTATATCCAGGAACAAGAAGTAGGACACAATTTTTTTTTGTGGACGCAATTGGACGTAATATGGACTTAATTATGGCAAAGTTTCAAAGTGAATGGACATTTCATGCCGTCGTACTTCAATCGCACATTCTGTCAATAAATGATTATAAATCTATAAAAGCGTGAATGAAATTAACAAAAAACTTTAAAACAGATTAATGACTTTTTTTTTATTAAATGAATAAATATATGCAATGATAAATAAGGAGCTCGTGAGATTTTTAAAATATATGAATGAGGTATTGAAGGAGTACCAGATTTAATAATTTTCCTACGATTCAATGTTTATCCAAAATTATTTTTTTTAATTAAAACAGCAATTAAAAAGTGTTTGGTTATTTATTCTAAAAAGCTTTCAGATTCAATTCTAAATTGTTTGCATTTCCAACTGTTCTTTCAATTCCGAATTTATTTTGTGTTCATTTTCGAATTTTTGATTCAATTTTCGAGAATCATATTTTTCCATTTCTAATTTAACAAGTTGTTCACATTTCATTGGTACTCCAGATTTACTGTAAAGCGGTGCACAATTCAACTTCAATGACTCTTTCATACTTATAACTTCCTGTCTGCTATTTGCTTTATGGGAAGAGCAATAGTTTCCATTTAAATAAATCTGCTGAATGTATAAAAGATTTAGGAAAATTTTCGTATCAATTCGTCGAATTTTGTTATCAGCAAGTGATATAAATTTAAGTTTAAAGTTGTTAGTAAAAACATCACCATCAACACATTCGATGTCATTTCCACGTAAATTTAAATATTCTAAATGAATGTGTCCTTGCATGTCCTTCAGTCTTACAACTTTTAATTTTGAATGAACAATTTCGAGTCCTTGAAGCTTGTCGAAGATATCTGCCAATCCTTGTGGTATAAAATGATAAAATTTATTTAAAGTTGCAAAATGTTTTGTTTTACTGTCTTTTGTCAAAGTTTTGTTGCTATGACTGATTGAAGTGATGTAAGTCTCATCATAAATAATTGATTCATTGCTGATCACAAAACATACTGGAACCTCACCAATGTGAGTTCGAAATTCTTTAAAATACTTGCAGGTTATGATGATTGTGTGTGCAGCATATAATGGAGATGAGAAGAAAACAAGGAAAATGATTATAGTAACTAATATGGTTGAATATATTGATCTGGAATTATAAAAATTGTTTCAGTTATAATTGACATATTTAATCAGGCATGATTGATGCTATAAATAAATACAACTTGCTTACCGATGCATTTTTAAATTATGTCAACTCAAATTTCTTATTTTTTAGTTCTTGCTAATAATTCAATGACTTCTAAACGTCGATTTGCTTTCAATGATATTTTCTCAGCTTTTCTTAAAGTATCTTATTTTGTTACTTATTTTAAATTTCTTTCAATACGAGATCAACTTTGAACTGATCCATTGAAATCAAAATCAGGATTTTTGTAGTTTATTTTCACTTACAATCTCGTAAATTTAGAACTGAAACTGCAATTTTGATAATAAATGGAAATTTTTCCCTTTAAAATAGCTTCTGCAGTAGACAGTGATTAGACAACTGAATAATTTATTCTCATGATTAATATTAATCTCTGCTGTTTATTATTTTATTAATGAACTCGTATTAATGGATTTTTTTACTCGAGCCTTATCAAAATACTATCAATAGGGCGACCATTTATCAGACCTTTCAAACCCGTCTCTACTCAGATGAACTTCCGAAATTAAAATTCATTCGGATTGGCATTAGATCTTTACCAACTAGAACTAGAGTTTTAATTGAGCTACTACAGTAAGTATTGCGGGTTTAGTCTGCCGTTGTTCTGGCAAGTAATACAATTGCCATTATTTTTAAAAATATTTTTAATTACAAGAATTTGAAGCATATCATTTAAAGCATAATTGAATATGGCTACCCTATGGAAAAAAAGATTATTGATAGCAGTTTTGGTCTTGATATTGAAGTATTGTAAAAAAATGGCCTTGAACTTTTTTCATTAGTTTGTAATTTGCTTATTTAATAATCTTTTTGTTCAAGGTTTATTATTAAAAGGTTTAATGTAATATTATCAAGTTTTATTATTTTCTTAATGAATGATTTTTTTTTATTTTATTTATATAAGTTTAAGTTAAAAATGTCGAATTGTCACAAGGATTTTTAACAATTTCCTGGGAAATGCTTACCTTCTGTTTTCAATTATAATCGAAATCAATTTACAAATATGTGAAACGCAAACTATTTTTATATTGCTAGCATTGCATAGCTATCTGGTTTCAATATTATTAGCGCATTTTTGAACTTTGTTTCTAAAAATAAGCTTAATAATGCATTTTGTTTGGCTGCTCGGCTGAGGCAAAAATTGAGATCTGAGGTCTTTTTTAATAGACATCGTACAGTTGTCGGGTTTGTTTTACTAGCTCAGTTTTATCGAGCCTCCCGGTTAGTTAATATTCTTAAAACATTATTTCTGAACCATAATTAATGGTTTGTTTTTATTTCATTTGAAAAACACACAAACATTTTTTTCTACCATTAAAGCCGATTTACCAGGGGTTGACACGATTTCATCTTTTCATCTTTCCATACAAAAAATTCATCAATTTTCATCTTTCTTCATCTTTTTTCATCAATTCGTACAAAAAATTCATCTTCCTTCATCATTTTCATCTTTAAGAATTTCACGTTTTATTTGGTTTGTGAAGTATGTAATTTCATACAAATTACCTTAAAAAATCATTTTTTACAAAAATATTTATGAAAAATCGCTTTTTCACATCCCAAGTAAGGAAATCGAGACGAAAAATGACTTTTCCGAGAGGTTTTTCATCCTAATCAAGGAAATCGAGACGAAAAATATGCTTTTCTTTGGGGTTTTTCACTTTAGATCAAAAAAAATAATGCAAACATTTATTTTTCCGAAAGATTTTTCACCTAAAATAAGAAAAATTTGCTTTTTCGAGGTATTTTTCATACAAACCGAGCTCACCCGAAAATTTCATCATTTTCATCTTTTCATACAAAAAAATTCATCATTTTTCATCTTTTTTTCATCATTTTTCATCAATTCATGCAAAAATTTCATCTTAACAATAAAATAAAGAAATTTTTCATCAGGATGAAATCGTGTCAACCCCTGGGCGATTTTATATGAAATTTGAGCTCTCAAAAATTGCAATAAATATTATTTATGAATGCGCCCACGTTTTAAAATGTAGAACTATACGATATGGTCGAAGTGAACAAATTTCCAATGGCTCTATAATGAAACTTTCAAATCAATCTGAAATTTTTAAACCAATATCCTTTGAACCCAAGAATAAAGTTATTTTCTACTTTTTAGTGCACGGGTAAAAACGTGGTGTTTTAAAGAGTTTTTTTTATAAAGTATTATTATTTTTCTATGTGTGTACGTAAAATTGTATTTTATTCGTGAATAACAAAATTGTAAAAAATATAAAATTAAAGGTTTTGTGAAATTCAAACGATATAATAGTTCGATCAATAATACGTTTTTTTTTTAACTTATTGAAACAACTAGGCCATGCTACCCGATACCCTTTACATATAAGCAAAGCTCGAAGTCGACTCGAGTTTTTCATCGATTTTGAATGGCGAAGTCGACTCGACTCCATACAAAATTTCATCGACTTCGAGCTCTGCATATAAATAAAAGAAAACAGCTACAAAACTCATTCTTGATGTTTCATGATAAGTAAATAGCTCCATTAATAAATTCCAATAAAATTACTTGTCATAAAATCCAAAACCACATAAAATTTCAGACGTTTTGTTCTATTTAAGTACAATAAATACAGTCTTTAGTGCAATTTATTCAGTGCAGTTTGTTAACCAAAATAAAATAAATGAAATTTTTCCAAAATATTTTTGTAATTTTAGTTTTGATCGAAAGTATGTTTTAAGCAAGTTTCTCTGTAAAGAAGATGTCGTTTAAAATGAACTACAAAATTAACACAGAATTTAAAATTTAACAATACCATTTTTTAAATTAAAAACTGTTTTCAGTGACATTTGGTGGAGGCTCTTCATATTGTGGACAGTTACAAAGTACATTCAAAGTTCTCTTTCAAGCTGTTCATGAAATAATTGACATTTCTGAAGCATCAAGCACTGGTAACCAAATTGAATAAACTTTTCTTAAATCTTTTTTATAAATAATATTTTAAATATCAAATTCAGATCAATCACTTGGTAATAGCTTTGCCTTTAACTTAGACTGCAAACTTAATGAATCGATTGCATTGGTTGTTTATGGAACAAGTAGAATAACTGAAGTAGATCCTAATTTTATCATGAGTGTTTTAACTAGTGATATAGATCAACTTTTTCAAAGTCCATTCGACTGTATTTACGATGATTTAATTGCCGTCCGAAACATTATAAACTTTACAAGATATGTTGCAATACCAAGTCTCAAATCAATTATTATAACATCAAGTTGTAAGTTAAAAAATATATTTACAAAAAAATTAAGGTAAAAAATATATTTTTATTCCTGTAAAGTGCCAGATCATTTTGATTGTGATATGATTGATGAATATATCACAGAAAAATTCGAATTTTACACATCAGAAATTGAAGAAAAAATCATGGATTTTTCTGGTAAAATATTAGAAAACTAAAGCTTATATGAATTTAATAACAAAATGAATTTTTTCAGGTCTAGCAACATCTTTTGCAAACATCCACATGCATGATTTATTCCTGAATTTTCTTTTCAATCACCAGATTTGTGCAATGAAATCTCTAGCATATGTTGCAGCAGGATCAGTTAATGGAAATGAACAAGAAATATTAAATTATTTATCAAACAACGAAATTTTATCATTTCCATTAAATTGTACACAAACTAATATTGACAAATATTCAAATCGAATTATTGCTTCATATGAGACTCTTTTCGATAAAATTTCAAATCCACAAATGTCAAGTTTACCACCAATTTGTGAAAGTTTGAGTGGAGTTATTGCTGGTTTAAAAACTACTGTATTTGGTATGCTTAGTAGGATTGAAAATCAAACAGTTTGTAAGTATCTATTTTTGTGCATCATTCAAAAAAGTTTAACAATAAGCAATTCAGACAATTGTTTCTAATTATTTTCAAATGAAGATGGTTCAATTCGTTATCACGCACTACGCCCTGGGTATATTGAGAACGTTCGATGTAAAGTTGAAATGATTTTACAAACAATAGCTCGAAGGCTTGAGGATATTTCAGGGATACCATTTAAAGATATTTATAATATTTTACAAGGTCATGATATTGTTTTACCATTAAATGAGCCACTTAATTGTATACAAGATGATTTAATTCAAATTTCACATAGAACTGAATATGTTGTTGGTGATTTTATTGTGTTTCTAGAATCTCTGGTTTTATCGCGTCTAGGTAAGTTTTACTAAAATTTATGAGTCAGTTTATATCATATTTATTATTTTTTTTTTGAACAGAACTAATAGAATCATGTCAACAGGTAGAACATATAATTGGCAATTTAACAGATTCTGTAAACATCTTCATTTATGAAAGCACTGAAGAATTGAAGCGTAAGTTCTTTTTTCTAAAATAAATTTTCAAATGTTTAAAACAAATTGTTATAAGTCAAAATATCTAAAAATACAATTTTAGTGGAAAACGAAGACTTTTCAGGATTAACAAACGGTTATGAATACATATCAAGCATAATGACTCAAGAATGCGAAAAGAAGAGTTTATCTAGAATATTTTCATCTGCTCTTAATGGAGACTATGATATGGTCATAAATCTAATGAATGATGGCGAATCATTTACTTATCCATACAATTGTGTAACAAACGAAATCTTAAATTCAATAATATATGCTCGGCAACTGTTATTTGATGCTGGATTGTATTACCTCTAAAACACAAGAGAAATATTTTTATCCTAAAATAAAAAAAAAAGCTAATTTATAATCTTAAAAAAATTGATATTTTATTGAGTTCGTCTTTTCATTTAGTACCTATTTAGCGTTCAACTAGTTCAGACGTAATTACAAATCTGACCAAAAATAATTCCCAACAACGAATTTAGTTTTTAAAATCTTTCTGAAAATCAACATGAACGCGACAAGGTTCATTTTCAGTGACAATTGCCAGTAATAAGCTTACAAATCTCAAACCAAAATAGCAAAGAACAAGGAGAGTTTTTCCAGCCAAGCAAGTATAGAAGAAATATTTTGAGAAGTGACGCTTAAGTGACTCAGGAATTGATAAAAGGAATTGTTTAATTTCTGTTTCCTGAAACCAAGCCACTCTCTGAAGATAGAAATGAATTAACGGAGCATGATCCTAAAACAGTGAAAACTTCAGTATTTAATTTTAAATATAAGCGCTAATTTATTCATTTATTCATTTATTTCAAAAATATATAATATTACATATTTACAGCCTTAACTTATGTTTCTTTATTTTAGTCAGTTTTTAATTTATAAAAGCATTCGGTGGTAAAACCTCAATCATTGCATACTTCCACGTCCAATGCCTTGCGAGGGCATTAAATTTAGCAGTCTCATTCTCATAAAGTTTTCCGATTTCTGGTTCCATACAAATTTCTGTAAATGGGTCAGTCAGTAAGCTTTGTACTGATAGAAGAAGTTTTGATATTGTGATTGAAATTGACCAATTATGCTGAATTATGTCAATTCCTAAGTCGCCATGTCGACTCACATTTGGATGAATAATTTTTGTTAAAAATCTACAATGGGGTGGACTCATTGGGTAGTTGTATGGAAATCGAATGTACAGGAAGAACTTTCCACCTTCATATGGTGAATTTGTTGGTCCAATAATCGATGCCTGCCAGTGTGTTTCTTGTGCATCAAGTGGTAAAGCATCAATTCCTGTGGAACCTTCTTGTGCGATTGATCTAATGTCATTTCTGAGTCTCCTTGCTCTCAAATGATTTATGCCACCTTGAATTGGAGTCTTGTTTGCCATTTGAACAAGACAAATCCTACAAAAGCATGCAGACATAAGTGCGCAATACATTTGCATCCAATTTGTGACTGCTGAAATTTGTTGATAAAGTGGAAATCGTTCCTTTAAATATCGCTTCCAAAACGCTTGTGGGATGTTTCGTGACAAAATTGTTCGCCATTTTTTGCATACCTCACTACACGTCCATAATGATATGTCATCAAGATATGAGAAAATTTTCAAAAGGATCTCAACTGGAAGTGTTTCAACAATTTCATTATGAATCACGTCGCGTTGCTCGAGTCGGGGACGACTTAATAAATCAACAAATTCAGCAACGTCACGCGGTGGGTCAACATTTAAACGGCGATTGAGAAAATTCATATTTACACTTTCAACTTCACTGCTGTCGTCAAATTCTTGTTGGTTTGGCATTTCTTCATTTCCACTGTCTTCTTCATCATCGTCAGAAAATTTTGTCAAATTGTGATTTTCAATTTCAATCTCATCTTCATTATGGAAGACAAATGAGTGACAGACACCGCAGATTGGTTGAGAGAAGTTGGGACCGTAGAAGCCATTACAGATGAAACATTGGTCCTGGAAATGTTAAGTACAAGGATTTAAGCTTAGTTTCTATAGTAATGTATCAAGTAATATTATGACTATAGTAATATATATTACAACAAGCTTTGATAAAAATTTACTTACGCAGCCGGAAAAAATAAAATTTTCACAAAAATCACGAAATTCTTCATCACTTTCGAGTGACTTTGTTGACAATGATTTTGATGGACCTTCAGCCATGTTCATAAACTTATCAAAGTAACAATGAACTTGAAAAAATTCAATTAGGTAAATTTTTTCATGAAAAACTGAACAAGGAGATTTTTTCCCCAAAACATCAACAAATGATGATATTTTTTGTTTTGTTCGTTATAAAGAAGCTCTAATTGCTTTTTTAAAAGTTTATTGTCAGTTAAATGATTTTACAATTTTAACAGAAACAATAGTTCTGTTTGTGATGTTATATGAGACATGAAGTATGTTATTGTGATAGATCCACAATTTGTTTATAAAAAACATTGAAATCCTATAGTTATGACAATAAAAGTGAATAATTAATCAAAAATAACTAGACATTTTGTGGTTATTTCAATCTATATATTTATGCTCCTGACAAATTGAATCGCAGTGCATCCAGCTGAAAGGCTGGGCCCATCGCACATTATATTTATACTTCAGTAAATTCAAAAATTATACATAAACTATCACAGTGATTTGTGACAAAGTTGGATTTAAAAAAAATCCAGCTGATTTCGAAAAATCATTTAAATTGATTATTTTAAAGCGATGCATCATTTTCGGTTCGAATGTTCGAAACTGAGTACTGACAAATCAAAATAAGATGTTGCAAACATTACTTTGTTCAAAATAATTCTTTTATTTAAAGATGATTGTTTTTAAAATTATATAAATATATTTTAAGTTTAATTCTTGTAGGTTTTATTTTTAAAAATTTTGATAATAAATGAGTTTAAATTTTAAGCAAATTTTAAAATCCATTTTTTTTAAAAATCTTAATATTTTACTTAAATCTTTTACAAAAAAGCTAAAGTTTTTTAAAAATTTAAGTTAAAAATTCGACAAATTTTCTAATCTAAATAAGAAATCTTTAAAGTTTTGAAAAAGCGCTACTGTAAAAAGCAGTCATTAGATTTTTGAACTTACCTGTGTTTATAAGTTAAAAACAATCCAAATAGTTTAAAGCAAAATAAAAAGTTATCAAAAAGTTTGTTAATTTAACAAAAGTAATAAAGTAGTTTATCCTTTTTGGAACAAAATATAATCAATATATGGCAATCTTTTGTTACTAATCTATAAATACAGTCCAAATTTGAATTAAAACAGTATTAAAATTGACAGTCGGTCAAAATTTAAACAATAGCATTTAATCCAGAATTTAGAGTAATTCACAATACTTCTGTGTTCAGTAACACACAGTCTTCGTTCATAATAAACAATCTCAAAACAAAAGTACAGATAAAAATTAAAAAATTAGTGAATTAAAGTGATATTGAAGGATAGTTCAGAATGTCGGCAATAATGGATTGCCGTCTGTGCCTAGAAAAGAAGAAACATTTGCTGGAAATAAATTCAGATATACAAAATTCATTCTTTACAATTACACAAATGAAGGTGAGTCAAAATAATCATGGAAAGTTAAAATTAGTAAATTTGAACGAAATTTAACAAAATAAATTTCCAAAAATCCAAAATTTCCCTCAAAAAAGTTGGCATCAAATTTTTTTTTTTTTTTCATTTCATCTTGAAATTTTTTCTCTTTTTCTCTCAAATGAAAAAAGTTTTCTTTGTATGTGTTAGGTCGCCTATGATGCGGTTTCGATACTCACATACCTCAAGGGTATTAAACCCAACCCATCGTTCCACATTCATTCTTTTTTGCGCTCGCTCGCACACACTATCTCTTATGTTTTCTCTAAATCGGTCTCTCTGTGTGTCTCTTTCTGTGTGAGTCGGTTTTCTGACCTTTTTGGCTTCGTTTTGCTCCCTATGCTCTGCTTTGTACAGAAAACTTTTGTGCACTCACACTCTATTTCGTACATTTTGTTGGTCTCATGCTGCTCACTCGTTTTTTCATTTTGTTGTTGCTTATTTGCCTGTATCCCATCTGGCTTTTAGTGTCTGTGTAGTTTCGTGTATGGGTTTTGACAATTTGGATTTGGAGAACTGGTTAAATGGTAGTTCTTGTGAACGAGATCCGAAATAGGAGATGAAACAATGAAATGAATTGTTGTCTTAAAATGTATTTATTCAAATTTTTTGGGGGCTTTAGGTTTTTAGGTATATTAGTGTGTTGAAATCATACACTTTCGCATTTGAATATTATTTCAGTCTATCAGGTCAATTTATCCGTTTTTTTGATTTTATGTTAAAAATCTCAATAAATTAATCTATGTTGTCAAGTCCACAATATTTTTCCTACCTGACTAAAAGTCAATCTCGAATTACTAATCAAACCCGAGCTGCAACTAACAGTATTTACTCATTAAGATAACAGATGCACAGACTAAATGCAAAATATCTTTGTAATTATATTTACCGCTTAAATTGCACGTGGATGCATGAAAGTATAAAACATTTATATGTGTATTTACATTGGTCGGGAAAGAATTGAAAAGGCAGCATGAAGAACAACTTTGTTGGTATCATTCAAAAATTCTTTCAACTTCTAATACCGATATTTGGCAAATTAAATAGATCTCTTGTGGATGTCTGATTTTGAAACTAGGCTTAAAATTGAAAAAGTGGTCAACAGTTTTAGAAAAATTGTCAAGTGATTGAGCATTTTGACCAAATTTGTTTTGCGAATAAAGATTCAGGATTTTCAGTAAGAGGAAGATTGCATATTTTGGAAGTCTTATAGGGAGGAGGGGGAGAGGTGTGCTAGTATTTATTACGTAGAATTTTTTCACTAGAAATTTACTTATTATGAACAGCACCTTAATGCTTTTCATTCTCTGTACAACATCACTGTATCATGCCAAACTTACTTAATATATCAAATACAACTACAAAATACTTTAAATTTAAAATAAACCATCTGCTATGTAAAAATCCCGCATCAAATAAATACCATGAGGGTGTTGCGCATGGAATCAATCTGTATGTAGTTTGTTGAAATAGTTTTTTGGGTTTTTATAAAAATAAGCAAAAAAAAGCCTTTCCCAAAAAAATCATTTCGATCGATAAAAAGCACAAACACCACTCTCGGCAATCCATAAAACCCAAGAACGAAGACACTTGAAGAAAAAAAAAAAAGAAAAAGAGAAATATCCTTTTCTGAGTGGTTGACAAGGAGTGAAGAAGGAAAAAAACCCTCAACCTTCCCATTTCTACAGAAATGAATCCCTTTTTCATCCACTTACTCTCCTCCATGGACATAATTTTATCTCAAAGATTATAGATATGTTTGCTTGCCATACATGAGAAATAAGAAACCATAGGAATTGGATAGAGGGCAAGCAACAACAAGAACTTTAAAAAGGTTTATGTGTATGTTGATGTGAATTAGGGATGTAGACGAACCGACCTTTTTGCCCTTATATTTCAATGAAATCTGAGTTTGCGCTATCGATGCGTCTCCCTAGAAAGTACTCAGTCATGTTTCTATGTATGTGTTAGGTTTGTGGAACCGCAAAACAGAGGGTGGTTGGCGTTTGGGAATATAAAGTTCTCGTTTTAGTGTTAGTTCTTCTTCGTACAAAATTTATCGCCTAGGGATAAGAATTTTTATTTTCTTTCTTCATACAGCATAGCATGTATCTTCGGATTATCATGAATATTTCTTTTTTTGACGGTTAGGGCATTTAAACTCTAGAATTTATATATTTTCACATTTGTCATTTTAAGCTCCTTTTGTGAGATGTTGCTTTGCTATTAACGTCATTTTGAAGTTTTGACTTATAGTGTAAGATTTAGTAGATTTTTTTAAGGAGAAGTAACATCAAAAGCAAAATTGTACAAAATTTCACTTTTAAATCAAAAAATTTCATTCCTTTTTTAATAATTATAATATTGTTATTTTGTAGCTCAACAAGCTCGAGCACTTTTCAAATTCAGTATGTCTAATCTGCTACAAAAAGCTTCTAGCAGCCCAAGGCTATAGAGACATGCTTGTGAAAATTGAAGAAAAGCTTTTATGCACATTTGCAAGACAACACAAATCCTCGACACCGATGCTTCGAACGACAAAAAATTCACAACGCACATTGACAAATGGAGCATCAAGTTCGTCACACATACCAATAACAAGACCTGGTCTACGGCAGAATTTTTCGCAGCAATTGAAGAGAGAAATGAACGCAAAAGACGATGGAACATCGGATGAAGAGGACATGAGTCTATTAGAAGAAATTGTGTCATTTAATGCTCCAGATGCTTCAAATTTCCTCAGTGAACAGGACCATGACAATCAGTTTTCGCTCCTAAGTGATTCTGAAATGCAAAATGACGACGAAGATGGGGAACCAACATTCAAAGAAGAGCCATATGATCGACCAATTGTCGAGATTGATGAGTCATCCAACAGTCACACAAGTTTTGGCAATAACAGCTTTGGAAATAATAGCTTCGCCAACACAAGTTTTCCACTTAAACCCTTCAAATGTGACGTTCCTGGATGTGCATCAAGTTCAACTACCGTCAAAGCACTCAAAAAGCATCGTCGGAGGGTCCATGGAATTCGAGTAAAGCCAGTTAACACTTTAATGGACACATCAGCTGTAAAAAAGCCACCAATCAAGAAAATAAAACTCGATGAACATCCACTGATGCATACTCTAGGAAATGATGACTCGATGCCCTTCCAATGCAAATTTTGTAATCTTATTTTGAGGAATCGTCGGGTATTGTGTCGACATATTGAGACAGTTCATAAGCAAGCAAAATTCTATTGTACAATTGATGGATGTAAGCATGCAAGCACTCGAAAAGACAATTATCGTCTGCATCTAAAAAATTATCATCGCAATTTGCCTGAAGAAGAATTGAACCAAGCATTAATGTTGACTAAAAATATGCAGCCTGTCTACGTAAATAAAGACTTTGAAATGTACGAAGATGAAGATGATCAAATTAGTTCAATGGCACTAAAGACAGATTCCGTGGATGTTAATGACGCTGCTGGTGATTCAATGATTGACGAAAATGAAACAGATTGGTTTGTAAAATTGCCGGAATAAAATTAGCAACACAATTATGAGAACAAATTTTAAGTTTAAAATATTTTTTGTACTTAATGCCAAAAGATTTCTTGAAGTTTGGCATAAAAAAAATTGTAATTGTAAAATAGGAATGATAAGAGAGAAGAGCAATAAGGAATAAACTTTTAGCGTAAAGATGCCAAACTAAATTCGCAATTGTAGGTGAAGTATTTTTAAACAAAATTAACAAACAGTGTAAAAAAATACTATGTTTTTGAAACAGAAAATGTTTAAGGATGTTCTTGAATTAGATTTTTGGATGCACTACCAATAATATGCGGGATTATTTTTCTTTTCGAAAAACTATTTAAGCAACAATGTTACTTTGAGAATGCTTTTCAATCGTGAGATTCCATTAAGAATGAATTTGAATTAAATTTTAAAACCTTATCCTAATAACAAATATGTAGGCATCTGAATGAATTTAGTTGATATTTTAAATGTAAAATCAATAATTATAAATTTTATAGGATTCATAAAGAAAATATTGATCAAAAACATGAAGAAATTTATAATTTTGTAGAATCTACATTACATAAATTTAATTTTTAAGCAAATCACAAATATCTGCAAAACATTAATTGTAAATAAAGTTCAAAATTTTGTTAAAAAATTTATTGACAGTAAAATAAAATTACTTACAAATATTCAAAATTAAACTTTTCTTGTTTTTTTTTTTATTCTTTTGGATCTAAACCACTCACAACGATGACTTTAAATGATCTTCAAATCTTCAGCTGTCATCTGTCTAATAACATTAATTTGCTTGACTAGTTTTTTCCAAACTGTGTGCCGCGGCACACTAGTATGCTGCAGAATTTTTTGAAAATGACACGAGCCTCATGCTGTTTGCGACTTTGGTCATAACTTACCCCTAATGTGTTCTGTGGCTCAATAAGTCTGGACAACACTGTGCTAGACGAACGAAATTAATTTTTTTATTCGACACAAAAAAAAGTAAAATTCTCATTTCTTATCAATTTCACTTTTAAAATTTTCACTTGCATTGGGTTTATTTATAAGATTTTTATTATTTACAAGTTACCATTACAGAAATTCTATTCAATTGTAAAATATCTAATTGAATAAGACGACAACTACGAAAAAATTTATTGTAAGTTTTATAATTTCACAATTGTGCATCTCAAGATCGGAAAAGTCTATTTGCTTCAGGTAAGTAAAATATAAATTAAGTTATACAAAATTTTATTCACATTGCTTAATGTTCGGTTATCAGGCTTTGAAGGGTAGAACATAGAAAAAAAAGTTAAGATTATTTCAGGCAAATCTAAGTTAGATCTTAGAAAATTTTGCAAAACTCAATCATTAATTAAATAATCCACATCTAATATTCATACATAAACTCTCACATTTCATTTTTTAAAAATATTAGGATAAAATTAGCCTTAAGATCCATTGTGATAAATATTCTTAACAATTAGATAATCTCTGACAAGTCTAAATAAAGTGTAATAATTTGTAATCAGTAAGAGTCCAATGCTAATTATTATTATATATTCTTTACAGTAAATGATTAAAATTAATTGTATAAGAACTGTGCTCAATTGTATTGAACATATTATAAAATAGAGCATTGATGGATTCTTAAAAAGTATATAGAATCTATGATGACCAGAATCTGCTGGCAAGGCAGTTGTACACTCTGCTGTTGACTTGAAAACATCCCCAAAATATTTAACATATGATCCATAAGCAAAGGTTTGTGTCTTTGACCAATTAAGCGGTGGTGGATGTGTTGCTCTAGGACCTAACTTAGTCCACTGTCCAAGATGAATTGCTGATCGATGAAGGACATCACAATATCTAATTGGCAGACAATAAGTTGCACACATTGTGAACAGACTGACAAATGTGAAGAAAAGATGTTGAGAGACCCAAAATTTGCTAAAAAATAGGTGCTTATTTGCAAATGCACAAGGTGCAAATGCTGAGTAATAAGCATTCATGACTGACGTAAAGATTATTTGCTTAAATCTAGTGTTAAAGTCATTCCGAAGTGTATCAACTTCAAGACGAATATCGACTGCGTTGCTAAAAGTTTAAAAGGAAAAGTTTATTAATTCAACTGCAGGTTTCATAATTAACACCAGTTTTAAATTTTTACCTGCTACACGAATGCATCACTTCACCCATGAATGGCATATCTCTTCTAGAATTCATTATTCTCAGAAATGGATCAATTTTACATTTGAATATTACTAAATATAAAATTATTCTAAAAGAAGATTAATAGAAAAAAATTAAATGATTAAAAACTAGATCAATTGTAAATTAAAATTTTAGTTATGTACTTACGGATAAACGAGATACAAGATGTTCATGATGCTGTAGTTTTGAAATATCTTGATGTTACAGATTAGAAAGATAAATTCAAGCATTCCAAGAAACACATATTTTAAACACTTCTCTGCAAGTCCATAGTATCGATCAGGACATATGAATTCTAATCCTTTTACTATTAGACAGTAGAAGAATCGCCGTCCAATCATCACAAAAATAAAGACCACTAAACTCTTATCTATTAGATAAAAATTCTGAAGGACAAAAATTTTAAAATTGAAATTTTATTTCTTTAATTTTAAACTTCCTTACCATCGAATAATTGTGATAAGATTCTGGATGCCACCAGACACTCCTATATAGATGCACAAATTGTGAACTGGCAGCAATTAATGTGAACATGAAGATGATCAATTCACTTAAAATTTCATTTTCACTTTGAGTGAAACTAGATTGAACGAATGCGATATGTTTCGGCACAATTGGCTCACTAAATTCATTGTTAAGCGGTGAATTTGTTGGCTGAAATGTTGTTGGAGTTACACGAGATGTTGGTGGGATCCTTCGTCGGCTCATTTAACTCACAAGTTAATTTTAATCAATTTTTTTAATTTTTTGGTGATTTGTTTTTTTTTATTCTGTATTGTTGTCAACAATAATAGAAAAAGAAAAACTGATTTCGAAAAATTCGAGTTTATTTTGAGCGTTAGTAAAATTTCAATTCAAAATAGATTTTTAAATTTTCAAACATGGAAAATATGTAGCTTAAAAAATTCATCATTATTATTCTCGTTTATAATTTTATTTTGTTTTATATTTTTTTTTCAACTTTAAGTTTTTAATTTATTTTAAGTACATTTTGAGAACTTGTTTTTCAAAAAGGAACTTAATAATGCAATTTTATCGGCAAGACAATGATAAAAACTTTTTAACCAGTTTGTTTTAATAGCTTCGTTCCTATTGATTTATTATTAAAATGTAACAAATGAACATCAATTTTATTTCAGGATACTGAAATTGCCCCAGTAAAATTTCCACTTTTTTTCTGTGATCATCTGTATGCGAGTATCTCGTGATTACATTCTTTTGTCAATGCAATTAGAACAGTAATCAAAAATAAATTTTTAACATTTACAGTAAATTTATACGGAAGTGACGTAAAATTGTACAAAAATCACTCACAAATAATAATAATACGAAAATTAATATCCAAAATATTTGTAATATTTGATGCTCACACACGCAGTGAGACTCGACTTCAAATTAATTTTTTAACTAACCGAAGAAGTAAAGACCAAATAGTTAAAGCCTGTCAAACCTCAATAATATGTGCATTCATTAAACAGTGATTAATCGAACTGTCTATTTAAGTTGATTTTCATGAATAATCGAAATGATCACTATTCTCACTGTTGAGGCTAATCACAAAAGGATTGGAAAGTTAAAGCCAATCAAGGAACTGATATTGATGATATTAAGCATTAAACATGGCTAGGACTGTGTTGAATCGACAATACCTATAAGGATTTGGAGTTTATTAAACGTTGCAGGTTAAAATTGACTTTTGTTTTTTCAAAGATTTTTAAATTTTCTATTAAGTTCACAGGTCAAAGTTCTTTAAACGGTGACAAACCCTTTCTGATAAATTTTTTCCGGGTGTTTGACATCTGGCAGAAAGTAATTCCTAGGAATTCCTAGGAATTTTACGTAGACTCCTAGGAAATACTAGGAATTTCGGAAAATCCTTGTGATTCATAGGAACCTTATTTTAGCAACTAAATTGTTTAAATGATTACTATTATTTCCTAGTATATACTAGGATTTCCTAGGAATGCTCATTAAATCTTGGAGAAATTTCCTCAAAATCCTAGAAATTTCTGAGATTCCCAAGGATATTAAATGAAGTCTTCAAGGAATTTCCTTACTATCTGTAGAATTTACGAAGATCCTAAGATTCCTAAGGATATCAAGGAACGATCAACAAAGATCCAAACTATTCTTAGTGAAATAGAAAACTTTTAAAATTTCGTGAAATGTGAAACCAAAAGGAATGTTTCAGCATTTAGTAAGGTTGTTGGACGATTAAATGCTGTATATATGTAATTAAATTTAAAATTTATTAAAATAAAATGAAAGTATTTAGTACGGAACTTTTGCTTTAATTCTGATCAGCTTTTTTTCAATAAAATATACTTAATTTTCTTTAATTTTCCCAAAAATACAAATATTCTCTAAAGTCTGCTCTTTTTCAACATAATAACACAAATTGGTATCATAATCAAGTTTCCTCATGAACTCAACCCTGGCAAAGTCAAGCAATCTTTTACATTTCCATCCAACAAGTTCTCGTTCCTTCAATTTTTCATCTGTTTCATTTCCACGTTCTTTGTGCTGCTCACGACTCTTTCCATCACCACATGTACACCATGATACCATTTTTATTAGTATATTGAAAGTTTTACGATCAAATCCATGTTGAATCATCCAATCCTTACCCAAGAAGCTATCATAAGTGATTTGATGATGACAACAGACACAGATGAGAAATCCTTTCGTCTTCACTGTACCTTCATTTCCATTTATGAGACATCTTAGTGCAAAATCTGTTGCTCGGCCACATAAGTGCTTACTGACACCGACTATTGACTTACATGAATTGAAATTTAATTCTGTCATATCTAAATCACCAATATCAACTCTTAAACGATCAACAACACCTGAATCTTTAAGAACGTTGTCTTTTTTATGTCTGTGAGATGCTCGGTCTACAACTAAAACTTTAGAATCTTCAATTTTGTCATCTAAAATTACTTTTGACATCCAAAAGCTAAGATTTCCTTTCCCAGCACCTAAATCGATAAAACAAGTTGCAGGCTCAAGTAACTTATTCTCTTTAAGTATCCCCAGAATAGAGGAAGTCTGAATTAAATGACGAATTTTTTCATCTCCATAATGTTCAATTTTCAGTTCCTCATCAAATATTTTATGCGATTTTATGAAGTTTTTTATATTTCCTTCAATAAATTTATCATAAAGATTACCAACGATTTTTGTTACCCTGTCAATTTCGTCTTGACTAACATCTTTAAGTCTGAAAGCTTCATCATCCTCATCGGCAGCTCGAATTTCTCCAACATTATAATTCTTTTTCACATATCTTTCATTATTTTCCATCTTTTTAACATTACAAACTTTTAAATGTCTCGCAAGTTTGAAGGTGTAGACCGAGTGTGTTGGATCTAATGGACATAAAACTCTTTTTTCGTCTAATTCTGGCTTATTGTCGGCAGTTAAATGTTCACCACAAAACTTAGCTCCAGCTTTGAGTGTCATTTTACAGTACCGGCTTTTTCTTTTTACCCAATATTGACAATGAGGAGTTTCTGATGATGGATCAGGAATCTTTTGTTGTGGCTTTTGACGTCTCAGTATATTAACTGGTGATTGTTTTTGAGGATCAGATTCTGTGATTTTTCCATTTTCTTGAACTTTTGTTTCAATAATTGGATTGTTGTGCTCTTTTAAAGTTTGAGTACTCGATGATTCTTCAATATCAATTTCTGCTGTTTTATCTTCCATTTTCATCCTTTTTGGATTCTCAACTGACATTTTCAGTGAATTATTTTAATTATAAAATAATTTGGATGTTAACAATTTCACCAAAATCAAATTAATATTTCTTTTTGATTTCCCAATGACACGTCTGTCGATTACAATGTTTCAATGTCTACTAAATTTATGGATATTGAACGATTGTTTTTAAATCAATTAATAATTAAGATTGTACCAATTTTTTTGCAAACTTAAAATCTACACGTGAATTTTATTTTTTAATTTGTTTTTATTTACATTATGCAAAAGTTTCGAGTTTCGAAAACTCGATATTAATGAGATTGTAAACGGAATAACGGTCCGTTATTGATATATTGCGATTTGACCGGAAAAATTTGAATCTGAGATATATGCAGGAATGTCCCTTAAAAGTACCCTTAGAAAGGTAACAATAAAGTACTAGTAAATTAAATTTTAAATAAGGCATAACAATTCCACATTCAGCTTTAAGTTTAATTAGCTACAACATATCAAAAATTCTATTTTTAAAGTTTACTTAAACTTGTGCTTTATTTTTTCTTAATTTTTATATAATGACATTTTTACAAAGTTTTGTTTGTTGTTTCGTTTTCTAAAATGATTATTTAATATGATTTTATGTTAGGGACTTTACAGATAGTCCCCAATAATATTTAACTTATTTTTATACTTTATTTAATTTTTTTTCTCAATTTTCTAAATATGGACAGAGATTATCGTTAAAATCTTATAACTTATAACATATTTTAATTTTCTCATTATGCACGAGATGATAAAAAATCGAAACTTCTAATTCAACTTCTGAGAAAAGGTTCTAAATTGATTGTAAAAAAGCAGAGCTTGAAATCGACTGAGACTTTTTGACAGATTTTTTAATTTAGCTGCTTTAATGATATTATGCATTTAAATGAGTTATTTTTAGCTTTCGCTAGAAACCCAGCACTTGCACTCAGAATATGTTTATAAGCACATTATGATAATGCTTTTAATAGTTTCATCCTTTCAAATAAGACTATTTACAGTTAATCCACTGGGGATAAATGTTAAAAATCTCATCTTATTCGTCAAATGTTGTGGTTTTAACTCCAATTGAGTCAACTGCTTATTAGTTTAAAGTTGAATTCTTATTCAAATTTCAGGTTACAAAGTTTACTCAAGAAGCGTCCAGAATTCAAAAAATCACTTAGTTAAAAATTTTCGCGTGTAAATTGCTTAACCTTAAAAATTCTTCAAGTTTCGAACAGCAATTCAACTTCAATTAATATTCCTCATCTTCGATATCATGAAAAACTGGCTCTTGCTTTAAAGGAAAAAGATCATTAAAAATTTCGTGACCACTGGTTGTTCCTGTTCTTGCTGCTTCAGCTTGCTCTAAATCTAGTCTTTCCTTCCATCTCTTGATTGTTTTTTCAGATACATTCAGGATCATAGCAATGTCTTTTGGCTAGTTTGAAGAAGAAATTTTGTTTAAAAATATTTCGAAATGAATAGTTTTTTTCAATTTACCTTAACATTCATTGACAACATTCTCATTCCTGTTCTCCTCTTTGTATCATCATATCCTTTAGCTTCTGGAAATAATGGAGCTGTCGCCTTCTTATGATCAATTATTTTTTCCTTATTCTCAATTAATTCATTGACATGATCGATAATTTCTTTTTCATATTTTTCAACACTAAGATCTTTTGCTTTTTGAAGTAGTCTTGATGCTGATCTTTCACTAATATTCATCAACATGGCAATATCCATTGTACGAATTCCTCGTTCACGTAAAATTTTTGCTATGATAACTTCTCGCTCGCCTAGATACGATTTCGGTTTTTTAGGTTCGGGAGGTGTACTCTTTTTCGGTTTTTCAGGTGTTATTGCTGCTGCTGCTGGTGATCCTGGATTTTCCTCAATAATAACACATGAAAGTGGATCTAATGGGTCAGCATCAGCAAATGTAGCTGAAACGTATTATAATGTTAAAATTCAGAATTTGTAATTGAATGATTAGCTTTTAATTACTATAAACCAGTCAAACATAGTTTGTACTTACCTTCATCAAACTCATCTCGTCCTTCATCTTTAACCTTAATTGAGCCAAAACTATCGTCTTTTTTCAGTCGCGCAAGAGGAACATCGTCATCTTCATCATCACTGCTGCTGTCATCTCCCCATTTGTTATCATCATTACCTCCCCAGGGATCATCATCAAATCCATCATTACCCCAATCATCATCGTCATCAATCTTATTGTCTTCTTCATCCCATTCACTCTTAACTTCTTTTTCTTTTTTGACTTTCTTTCTAGTATAATCTGAAACTTTTGCAAGTTTTCCGCGTCCTTTTGAGGTTAGAAGATCTAAAGTGTCGTCAACGAGGGTATCAATTGTTCCACTTGTGATCATTTTAATTAATTTCTTGACGGTATTCATAGAAAGCCCAAGAATTACGCACATATCTTTGTTAGTTTCTCCCTTTTCGAATAATCGCTTTGCTTTTTCGATGACTTCTTTGTCAAGTGATTTAATATATTGCTTTTTTGGCTCATATCTTGGCCTTTCACATGGTTCTTTCCTCATATATTTCTTATTGTATTTATCAGGATTAGCTTTCATTTCATCAAGCCTAATTCGCCATCTCCGAACTGTTTTGTCACTAATGTGAAGTGCTTTTGCTATTTCTGTTGCTCCCATTCCTTTATCGCTTAATTCTGCAATTTTTTCAGCTTTTACTTCTGCACTAAGGAATTTAAATTTATATTCTTCTGTTTCCTCCTCTGGATCAACTTCTAGTTTGCCTTCTTCTTGTAGTTTCCGTTTTTGTTCATTTAATCTCCTTCGGAATCTTGTGACACTTCTTTCACTGACTCTTAATGCTTTTGAAATTTCTCTTGTTGAAAAGTTTTCAAGAATTAACTGTCGTGCATATTTAAATCTCTCTTCTGCTGACATTTCCTTTTTCCTTATATACCGATTTATACTTCCTTCCGGTTTCTTTCTATTTCTTCTATTTCTTCTCTTATTAAGCCTTGCTGCTCGACGGCGTGCACGAATTTTGTCCTCAAAAATTTGCATTTTATGTTTAAAATATCGAACCTTGTCAGGTGGAATATTGAGGAGTAACGCAAACTCATCATCTGTTGCATTATCCTGCATTAACTGTTTACACATGAGAAAGTGCTCCTTGCCGACAACGACTACTGTTTTTTGTGTGGCTTGATTGACTTTGTGAATTGGCTCGGGAGCTCTATGAAAAGGTTTAATATCAAGTGATGGTTTTATGTCCATTGGTTCCATCATCATAGAGTTATTCATCATTCTGATGGCTAGTTTTTTTTAAATTATTTGAAATTTTAATGTTTGCAATTTAAACTTATAATTATCAAATCAATATGTGCTAAACATTTAAAGTTCTGATCCTCTCAGCGTCTTTCCAGTCTGCTTTTGACAAATTGAGCATTTAAAGAATTTTCTTCAAACTCAATGTCTTTGCTGTTGATACTTTGAATGCACAATTTTAAAAACTAAACTATCATCCTTGGTTTTCCAAAATAATCCAGCACTCATCAATACAAATTTCAAAACTTGCAAATAAAATTTGCAGCTGGTTTTGCAACAATTTGAACACAATGAAGCATCAAATATTTCAACTTTTATCTAAAAATTTGAAAATATTGTAAAATTTTGCTTTATTTTTGAATTATTTCTAACATACCAAAATATTTCAGTTTTTCTGTTTAAACTTTTAATCAATTTGTAATCTTTGTATCCACAGCTAGAATGTGGTGCGAGTTGTGATGCAAAATTTCAATTCTTTCCCTTGATTTGTCTCAAAAAATGTTTATTCTGATGATAAATTTTCAAATGTTTATGTTTACAATTTTTACATGATCGGGAAACTTTTTTCTTTAATTTCGAAAATTCAAACTTCGAAAAACAAACGGCTTGAAATTTCTATTGCCGTTACATAAAGTTTGTATACCTGACAAAGAATGATAATTTTAGGAATCAAATGTTTTTATCTGCTTTTTATTATTATGAAAATTTAAAATATTAAAGTTCTAAAAACATTAATTTACTTGATACTGGTTTTAAAATAAAACTAATATTTATTAGATTTTATTAACATTTATTGAACACGTTTTTAAAATGAAAATCATCAATCTAGGTATTTTTTTAAGGAAAAATAAAATAACATTTCAAATTTTTAGCTTCAAAAAAATAATAAAACTTTAAAAAATTTATTTTAATTTACGCTTTTGTCAGACAAGTGATGGATGGAAGTAAATAGTAGCTTTATGATTTTTTCTAACAATGATAAAGGTGCAAAAATTATTAAGTTCATTGGTCATTCGTGAAACTCGCCAAGCACAGCTTTGCACTGAGGGCACATATGTTTTGGAATACTGCAACACTGAAAAAAGAACTTTTTATTTTATTATTAATTTTAAAATTATTGAAGCTTACACCGGCAATATATGGCCAGCATGTGCAACAAACTAAACCAACACAACACAAAATTAATGCTGTCAAATGAGTTTTCCATGAAGGTCTTGGTTCAATCTCTGTAGCTATTGATGTTTTACAGTTTGGACAGACTGTTGAGACACTTTCTTTTGCTAAAGCCATTGCTGGTAACTTTAAAATTATCTTTTGGTTTTATGGATCACAGTTTTTGGTACTTAGCAACGTGACTGAAGTCGTCGAACTAAATACGAACAAGCAAAATTTTATGTGGATTTATTAATTAGTAAGTTGATGCTTGCATCTATGAAATAAAATAAAAAAATTTAATTGACCTTGCGAGGGCATCAATTTAATTTTTTTAATATGAAGTTTAAATTAATATTGAGTTAATTCGTACAGTCTGATGTCTGGAAAAGATTATAAAGCTAAGGTATAAATTAAAATTTGACTTCCACATCTCCGCTTTCCTTCATTTTTATGTGACACAAAATTAAAATGTAAACTTAATAGGACTTTGTGAATAATATCGATTATTAATTTAAGTTTCTGAATCTCAATTTTTACCGTATTTCATTCATAAATCCATGCAATCTGCTAAACTTAACACATCTTTTTACAATATACAAGAAAAGCACAAAAAAAATCCCTCAATATCATCTCCTCGATTTTCACATCCTGGCGCTTGAGAGTCTAGTCATAATTTGTAATGTCTCGACATGAACATTTTTCTCATTTTCAATTCGTTTTCGTTGCTGTTTTCATTTAGCTTAAATTTGCTTTGACGATTTTCTTATGTGCAGCAGATTGGTTTGCTTATCCTTCAATTTAAGAGATTTTGCCTCTGCTAAAGGCACTATAGTGAACCAGAATGTTTTTTGAACAGATACAGGAACAGGTTTATGAGAAACTTTAAAGCAAAAACCCCAGCAAGAAGTTTTCCAAGAGAGGATGGAATTTGTCACCTAGTCGTTTAAATGCGTTTTAATTTTCAAGATTCATTATAAAAGTCTCTCAAACTCGTCTCATATTAAAATACATGCGTTTTTTATAACAATTGTGTGTTTATCCTTCTATAATGAAAAACGGAAGTCTCATTTTCTTTTTTTTTTTGTCACTTAAGAGAACGTCTTTCATTTTTTTTATATCAATTCATTTTTCGTCAAACAAACAAGGACGAAAAAACAACCAAAACTTTTTTTTCATCCAACACAAAAATGTAAAAGCATTTGGCAAGTCAGTTATCGCTGAGATTTTTAAGGAAAGACACACGATGAGTTTCTATTATCACCTAAAGTTAAAAGATTTCCTTACTGCTATTGATCTGCAACTTCTTCTCTACATTCTTGCAGTAGCAGAATCACTACTTTATGGATTAGTAATCATCACATATATTGGTGCATTAATAGCTTTTAGGAAGGCTGAAGTGAATTATAATGATGATGAATTTGAAACATCAAAACTTTTAGAAGTGGAAGCGATGGTTCAAATATTTGGAATTGCAATGTTTTTCATTGTATCTGTCGTGATGGTTGGTGGTGTGAAAGAGGTTAGTCAAAATCTGTACTTTGTCCTGAAGTTGCGCCAAATATAATTAATTTACATTGTTAAGGAGAAGAAAATAAATTTAATAAAATGTTAAAAATAATAACTAAAAAATATATTTTGAGATTAGTTCGCGATTTTTTACATACTTCGCCGGTCGAATAGATCAACTGCTATGTTGTATTGTACGCTGTAAGGAGAGTCATGACTTAATGTTTACTAACTACTACTTTTAGAAGTCGTAAATGTATAATATATCTGATTTTACCTTCGTGACTAAAACCCTTGCCCTACGCCAGTTTTAAAACTCAAGATTATTTCTGGTGACACCACTTTTGCTACCACGTTATTCCCACTTGTTTGTATGCAAACTCAAGAATAATCTTTAAATTCTTTCTTTCGTTTTAGAATGACCACAACAAGCTTCTTCCTTACCTCCTTCTTTGCATTACACAAATCATCGCCGTAATTATCTATTCAATTTTTATTTGCCCTTCGTGGTTTTATGTCATCTTTGTTACTCTTAAACTGACAATGTTTATGTTAACCTATACACTATATCGTCGACTGGTAAATGAGGTAGAGGAGAGAAAATGTTTCCTAGACTATGATGAAAAAATACTGATTGAATGAGACGAGGTTTATGGTGAGATTTAAAGTGCTCACCAAAGAAATAATCTTAAATCATCACATAGGAAAAAATCAAAAAAATATTCTTCTTCGTCAATTAAAAACGTCAACTATAAAGAACATTAATGTAGTGGAATTAAAAAAAACGATTGAGAAATAAAACTGAATTTATGAATTTGTAAAAAACAGTAACAGTAATTTAAAGTTTTTGTGTACGAAAAAAATATGTTGAAAATTTAAATTAGAACTTCCTTATATTTTTGGAAGACTAGGTAAACTGTACTCCAAAAACAGCAAATAAAAAACCCATTTCAAATTAAAAAAACGTTAAAAAAGATTTCCATTTTTTATTGTTTTTGAATAAAGGGTTGAAACTGAGGATATTTAAGTAAAGGAAAGAATTTAACAATGTCCAGGATAAATATTCGCTCTCATGAATGCCATCTGTTGTCAAAATTTGTAAACTTTAAAAAATATCCTTTTTCCATCCTAGACAATTTAATCCCATGACATAATAAAAATGAATGAATTAATAAAAATTGGTTTGAATCTTTGCAAGACTTTAAAAGCTCAAAAAAATTATTTTCTTAATTTAAAATTAAAACATTATTCATATTTAAAGTATAGACATCTTTTTTCGACTACAAAGCTTGTGATTCTTGAATTTCTAAAATTGATGAAAATTCATCATTTTCTTAACAATTTTATAGCTTTTTTAATAACATGAATCTCATTGAAACAACACTACTAACATATACGTGCTTGATATTTATTTTAAATTAATTATTTAATCTGTTAAAAAAGCCGTTAAAGATTATATTTAATATTCAATTATAAATTTAATATAATATTCCCTAACCCACAAAGAGCATGCTCAGAGCATGATAAATTGAGCTTGATCAGACTTTTTGAGCGTGCTCACCTAGAGCCACCTACAGTACCTATTCGAGCATGATAATTCAGACTCTTTCGTGAGCATGATCAAGATCGCGATCAGAAGAGCTTGATCGATGTAACATGTTGCATGTGACATGCTCACAAGATCGCGATCTTGATCATGCTCACGAAAGAGTCTTAATTATCATGCTCAAATAGGTACCGTAGGTGGCTCCAGGTGAGCATGATAATTAAGCTCAGAAAATTGTACTGAAGAGCGTGCTCATGAGAGCTTGATTTTGAGCGTGCTCTAAAGAGCACGATTTATTATTTAAAATATTAAAAAATATTGACATGTTCTCTTGAGCATGTTCTTTTGAGTTAATTATTAGTGGTGCTCTTATGAGCATGATTTTGAGTATGCTCTCAAGAGTTTGATTTTTTTTTTACTTTTTTGAGATTTGCCGAGATTCGAACCTGGAGCGCTGAGTTGTAATATGCCGTTCACTTATCCTCTGATCTATTGCTGTCTGAAATGATATATTTTTAAAATGGCAAAAACGCGTACTGTTTTTAGGGCCATATTTTTTTTCATTTTTAGATTTCTTGCCCTAATATTTTCAAGGGCAAGATATGTTTAGGTCCATATTTTTATGTTTTTTGGACATCTTGCCCAATTTTTTTAGGGCAAGATCAAGATATCAAGCTCAGAGTAGGATCTTGAACGTTCTCGGTAAGATTCTTTTAAGAGCATGAAAATAATTTTGTCACACGAAAAGTGGAGATTCTCAGATCATGCTCAAGAGCAAGCTCAAAAAGTGTCTCACGTGAGAACCTTAAATTTTCAAGCTCAGAGTAGGATCTTGAACGTGTTCGGTAAGATTCTTTTAAGAGCATGAAAATAATTTTGTCACACGAAAAGTGGAGATTCTCAGATCATGCTCAAGAGCAAGCTCAAAAAGTGTCTCACGTGAGAACCTTAAATTTTCAAGCTCAGAGCACGATCTTCAGCATGCTCACTAAGGTTCTCTTGGGAGCACATTAAATAATCATTCTCTCATCAAGCTCATTTTTTGTGAGGTTCTCTTATGTGGTTAGGGATTATTAATATTTTTAAAATGCAACGAAGATGATTTGCTAAAGGCAAACTTTTGGAGCTATTTGCTTATTGTCTCTTACTTTATTTTAAAAAAATAATAATCGCTATTTCAAAAATGCGCTTAAGTCTCTCGATCAATAACCCGAGGACTTTTGTAATTTATTGAACTTATTAACTTAACGCAGAGAATTTCTGATAGAAATAAATAAAATGAATTTTATGTTTGAATTAAAAACATTTGCTATGCTTCATTTACAAGTCCAAAAAGCTCAGTTGGTAGAGCTTTATTCTTTTAATCTAACGGTCCTGGGTTCAAGTCGAGGTGCTTGGACCAATAAAAACATTTTATCAACAAAATTCTAGAGTACGAATTTGTTAAAATTATTTTTGGTTTTTGTGATTTTTGTTGATTTAAGCAAAGTATTTTTGTCTGTATATTCTGCAATTAACTTTTAAAATTTTATTCTTCAGAGAAACGAGACAACATTAACTGATGTAAAATAGGAATTAAATCTGTTTATCTGTTTTCACTCGTCGTTTCATCGGTTAGAAAATTCAAAAAGTATTTTTGATATGGAAAACAAATGTAGAATCCAGCAAAAAGAGTTTTGAATATTCTTATGGGAATGTCAATACGCTTTTCCAATTTCAAATCCACACCTGACGTAAGATGATTTTATTGTCATGCGGGCTTTCATCTGGTATGTTTTGACTACGCTTTGTGAATCTAACGTATCTTATTTTTAAATCTTTAATGTGGGATTTTTAGGAAATAAATCAATATCCTTAGCATTGATTAAATTTAAAGCTTTTAAGGATATTTGTGTTATATTAATTTTATTAATTGAATTTTTTTTCAAGACCGAGTTTCGCAAACTACGAGATGTAAATTAAAAAAATTTAAATCATTACGGTTAATATTCTTTTTGATGAATAGTGTTATATTGAGAGCAATATTAATTATTGCAAAAAAGATAAAATCGCCCGAGCAGGGACTTGAACCCTGGACCGTTGGATTAAAAGTCCAACGCTCTACCAACTGAGCTACCCGGGCTTGTAAGAGAAGCTTAGCAATAGTTCATAATTAATTTTTTCAAAGCAGATCTTAAAATGAATAATTTGATCTGAGCTTAAAAAAGAAAAAAAGTTTTAATACATAATTCTGATTATTTAAAGCATTTAGTTCATCATCTTAAATCCACCATCCAAAGATCAAATAAATTTGATGAGTTTTAGCCAATTTTTCTGTAATTTAATAAAAATATTGGTTAAATTGAATTCGATTTTACTCCAAAATAATTTTTCTATCTAATCCAATTTTTATCGCAATTTATTGTTCCTTAATTATAATTTGAATTCGCATTTTTTTGTAAAATACGTTTGTTGACAATTTTATAATCTTTCTTTATTTCAAATTTGGAATTATTGTAGTTTAAGTTACATTTCTTTGAGTCTTATTTTGACACCAGCCTGAATACGGCTTTAATTCAACTAAAACTTGAATAATTATTAATTTTCATGAATGAGATTTACATATATCATGAAAATGTGGCATAAAAAGTTTAAAAAAATTGCCGAGCGAGAAAAAAAAAGCTTTTTTTTAAGCTTATGAACTCCGTTAATAAATTATTTTTGAACTGGCTTGTTCGGTGCTGGTGGGCAGCTCATGAAGCCATACTTCACCATGATTTTAAATGCAGTTCCTTGAGGTGCATCCTTTGGGATCTTTCCGGCTTCGTCTACGAAACTGCAGAACTGATTTATTGCTTCTTCAATGTTGGGGATTCTCTTTAGACGTTCTTGTGCTTCTGTGAATTTCTTGAAAAGGCTTTCATTCTTTACTGCTTCGTTGAGTTTCTCTGCATAACTGATATTATTGATCAGTTGTTGCTGATTAATCTCTTCTTGAAATGTTGCTGATGAGTTACTTGCAGCATTCACTGGATGTGAATAGCAGAAACTTGATGTCGTTTGCTTAACGATGGTAAATTGTTACTGTCCAAAAGACTTGATATCTGTGGCAGCATTTTGAGTTGTGGTTTGGCTCTTGACTTTTCGATTCTTTTGGAATACGAAATGAACGATGGGCACAGTCTATAACTGGCAGCATGATCGCCATTGCAATTAATGCACTTGGCATTTCCATCACGAGTGGATCGTTGACATTGATTTGGTCCGTGAACTTCCGTGCACTTGACGCATCGGAACTTATATCCACAATTTTGAGATAAGTGACCCCAACGTTGGCAGTTGAAGCACTGCGTTGGGCTTTTGTTGCCCTTCTTGATGTTCTCCCACTTGACGATGATGTTGTCGATGTTACGGTGGTTATGATTGAGCTCGTTGATGTTCACACTTTCATCTTGAAAATGCACAAGATAAAAGGTGAACTCGGGCTTCTTGACTAGAATTGTCACTTTGACAGCTGAAACCTTGGCTTCTTGAAGTAATCTTAGTACTTCATTCGTTGGTGTTTCGTAAAATCCTTTCAGAACGAATGACTTTGTTTTCTCCGATTTCTCGGAGAAAGTGTGAAATGGGATGCATTGAGACCGCAATACGCTGATTATTGAGGCCTTGTCCTCAACATTTTTGACTATGACTTGTGTTGTAGCCGCTGATGAAATTTTAAGTGCAGGCTTAACCTGCAAATTGATTTGTGAAATTATTTTTTTCACTTCATTAATATTTTGCTGGATGAACAAAGGCTTTTCAGCCTTTGCAGCTGTTACTGGAACTTCAGGTTCCGCCGTGGAGTTTTTTTTTCTGGAACTTGTTTTTTTTTGTTTCTTGAGATTTTGTTTTGATCCACTCGGGATTTTATCAAAGTCCATTTTTGGACTTAAATCCTGCTTCCTTTTGCGTCTCTTCATTCCCAAAGGGCAGCAGACAGCACCGTGTACTTAAATAAATAGTTTAAACAACTTTAATTAACTTGGAAACTATTTAATTAATTAAATGAAATTTTTTCACCCGTTTATGCACGAGGGGCTTTGAACTTTTTCAACAATTTTATAAAAATTTATAAAAATCTACTAATGTTGGCTATGTTACCCGAACATACAATGAGCATGCTCAGAGCACATTATTTGTGAGCCTATTAGCCTTTGTGAGAATGTGCTCATTTTCATACATTTCAGTGCTGCGCTTACGGTA